CTATGTTGCTGTTCTGGTACTGTAATATTGTGGTTATGTTGCTGTTAGGTTACTATTACATTGCTGTCGTGTTACTGTCATGTTCTGGAATATTGCCTATATATATATATATATATATAAAAAATCTCACACAGGAGAGCAGATTGGAGCTGGTGAGACAGGATCCACTGTTTATTAGGGGACAAGGAGGGGACAGGGAGGAAGCCTCTGTAGGTTCAGAGAGAGGGAGGAAAGGGATCAGTGAAGGGGCTTGATGAGGCATCTGTAAAATGGGATAGTACTAGCACCTCCCTTATGGGGTTGTTGTGAGAGTGAAAATGCAAATAATAAAAGCATTAGTAAACATTTCTGGAGCACTTTCCATGAGCTAAGTATGTTCTATGTGTTAAACTTCACAACAACTCAAAGATCAATATTACCAGTCCCAATTTACAGATGGGAAAACTGAGACTGAGCTATGAAGTGCTTTTCCCAACGTCTCCCACCCCAAAGCAAATACCCCATTTGTGCAAACTGGAAAATGTACTTGGAGCATTTAACACACTGCTCAGCACATATTAGGAGCTGGGTTAACATTAAAGGAAGAAGGAAGTCAGGGAGTTGCTTCCTCATCTAGGGACACCACGGTGGATGAGGCAGTCACCAGACGGAAGCAGGTTTGGGGAAGGCGAGGAATTCGTTTTAGGGGGCAATGGGTCTGAAAGCTAGGGGACCTGAGGTGGGGACATTGTGAAGGTAGCTGGTGCCCAGGGTTTAGGGCCTTGCCCCTGGAGTCCTTTGGCCTGAAGTCCGTGAAGAGGACATTGTGAGAGAACCACTCACCTTCTCTCCTGCGTGGATCTTGAAGGACACGCCCTGCACAGCCAGCGGGAGCTCAGGTCGGTATCTTAGCCCAAAGTCCCGGAACTCAATCTGCCCGCCATGAGGCCAGGGGGGCTGAGCTGCACATGTGGGCAGCCTCCAGGGAGCCTGGAGCAGGAGGGGAAACTGAGTCAGAGGAGCCTTCCTCTAGGACTTCGCACAAGATGGCCCACCTTTCTCAGCTTCAGTTTTCTCTTCCGCAAAATGGACATATGTATTGCAATTCTACAGGGTTATTACGGGAATCCAACAAGAGAGGGCATGGACTATGTCAATGCTAAAAACAGATGGTGGTGGCTACTTTTAGTCTATTTTATTGCTATTGTTAGCCACTGTTTATTATAAAATCATCTCTTTTTCTACAGTGGGAGCAGACATTTCTCTCTGTCTTTGCGAAAGGACATGGTGGTGCAGCAGGAAGGCCAATGCTGCCTTTTGCTATTCCTGTCACCTTGAACAGATCATTCTACCCTCTTGAGTCTTGGTTTTCCAATCTGGGAAATAGGGTTAATAAGAGCAGTGGACATGTATTGAGTGTTTGCAATGGACCAGAGACTCTACTAAATCATTTATTTGCAGGATCTCATTTGAACCTCCCAGTAAATTCAATGCTGTTACGTTACTGTTACTGCTATACTGCTGTTCTCAACCTTTCTTCCACCCCATCCCATCCATCCATCTCTTATCCTTTTTCCACCCCATCCCACCCATCCATCCATCCGTCCATTTATCTGTCTATCAATCTCCAATCTCATCCCTCCATCTCTCATTCTTCCACCCCATTCCATCCATCCATCCATCCATCCATTCATCTATCCGTCCATCCATCCATCCATCCATCCATCCATCCATCCATCCATCCATCCCTTATCATGTCTTCTACCCTATTCATCAATCAGTTCTTCCCTGTTCTGTTACTGTAATGTTACTGTTATGTTGCTATCACACTATATCATGTTGCTGTTTTGTTACCATTGCATTGCTATGTTGCTGTTCTGTCCTTATAATGCTACTATAATGTCGCTGTTTTGTTACTGTTACATTGCCGTGTTGCTCTTCCGTTACTATATTAAAGCCATGTTGCTGCGATGTTGCTGTCCTGTTATGATGTTGCTGTTGTGTTTCTATTACGTTGCCATGTTGCTGTTCGGTTTCTATCATGTTACTAAAATGTTGCTATTATGTTACTATTGCATTGCTATGTTGTGGTTGTATTGCCGGAATGCTACCATCATGTTACTATCATGTCTCTGTTATATTACGATTACACTTCTATGTTGCTGTTCTGGTACTGTAATATTGTGGTTATGTTGCTGTTAGGTTACTATTACATTGCTGTCGTGTTACTGTCATGTTCTGGAATATTGCCGTTGTGTTACTATCCTGTTGCAGCTATGCTGCTGTTGCAATGCTGTTCCTCATGGTCCCCCGCCACTCCCATAGGTGACCTGCTTTCCTCAAGCTCAGAAGCAAAGGAACCAAGATTTGGCCTGGCTCCAGACCTTATGCTCCTAACTACTGCTGCCACCCTGTCTGTGACTCTGACCTGTAGAGGTAGGGGTTGAGTCAGGGGAGAAGAGGGTACAAACTCCAAAGCCTGGAGCAGATGTCAATAGGGACCCGTTGCCGCCCCCCACCGCCAACAGTATGTCCCTGCTGGGACCCCCTCGCCACCTCCCGCCCATCACCTCCTTGGGCGTCCAGGCATAGTCCTGCATCCGCTCCACTGACACGATGCTGTTCTCTAGGTCTGTCCAGTTGCGAACAACCCACTGCAGCGTCTGGGTCACCTGGTGCAAGAAAGCATCCCTGGCTGGGTTCGGCAAGGCCACTTGAGGGCTTGCAACAGCCCTGCTGGTTTCCCAACCTTTGCTGGGAGGCCAGACCCAGGGGAGTAAAGAAGGGAGGCAGGGATGCGGCAGTCTGAGGACCTAGGCCCAGGGGATTGGGATTTGGATGCAACCAACAGGTCCCTCCCTTCCTTCAGTAGAGCCAGAGCATGCAAAGCGAAAAGCAGCCCTCAGACATCAGCCTGTACAAACTGGCTTGATGCAGGTGAGACAGGATCAGAGAGGGTGTGTGGCCCTCCCAAGGACACCCAGCAGGACCCAGGCCCACTGATTCCTTTCTGATAGCCTCCCCACAGCAACCGGTGGCCACCAATTTCCCGTGACACTTGGAACCACTCCAAGCTCCTCCCTGTGAACCATTACCGGCTCTAGTCCTGCCATCCCATCCCCAACCTTGTCTCCCAGCATCCCTGCCTTCACCCACCCTCTCTGGCCACACCCGCCTTCCTGCTGTTCCTCTAACACACCAGGGATGAACCTTCAACTCCCAGGCCTCACTTCCTCCTAAGTCACCTCCTCAGAGAGGCCTTTCTGGATGCAGGAGGAAAATGCCTCCACCGCCACCCAACATGTTCCGGCCTCTTACTTCATCCTGAAGCTTAGCAGCCTTGACTGTAAAATGAGGATAATAACAGTGCCTCTCTGATGGGGTTGTGGGCAGTATTAAGTGAGTTAATATTTATAAAGTTCTCATGCACAGTGGCTCATGCCTCTAATCCCAGCTTTTTTGAAGGCGAAGGTAGGAAGATTGTTGGAACCCAGGAGTTGGAGGCTGCAGTGGGCTGTGATCACAGCACTGCACTCCAGTCTGGGTCAAAGAGTGAGACCTTGTCTCCAAACAAAACAGCCGGGCATGGTGGCTCACACCGATAATCTCAGCATTTTGGGAGGCTGAGGCAGGCAGACCACTTGAACCTAGACCAGGTTGGGCAACATGGCGAAACCGTTTCTACCAAAAAAAAAAAAAAAAAATTAGCCAGGCATGGTGGTGCACGCCTATAGGCCCAGCTAATTGGGAAAGTGAGGTGGGAGAATCCCTTGGGCCTGGAGATGGAGGCTGAAGTGAGCCAAGATCATGCCACTGCACTCAAGCCTGGGCAACAAAATGAGATCCTGTCTCAAACAGCAACAACAACAAACCAAAATGAACAAAAATGTATAGAGCTCTTAGAATAATGCCTCCTCCATAACAAATGCTTATGAATGTATATATATATGTTTTCATAGATGTCATGAACTGACATTACATACTGTTATTAATAGTTAACAAAAAGTGGCCAGGTGTGGTGGCTCATGCCTGTAATCCCAGCACTTTGGGAGGCTAAGGTGGGTGGATCAGTTGAGCTCAGGAGTTGGAGACCAGCCTGGCCAACATGGCAAACCCTGTCTCTACTAAAAATATTAAAAATTAGCCAGGCATAGTGGCTCACGCCTGTAATTCCAGCAACTTGGGAGGCTGAGGCATAAGAATCGCTTGAACCCAGGAGGCAGAGGTTGCAGTGAGCCGAGATTGCACCACTGCACTCCAGCCTGAGTAAAAGAGAGAGACTCTGTCTTCAAAACAAAACAAAAGTTAACAATGCACTAGAAATGTCCTCCACAGGATATGCTTTGTCTCAACTAGTCTTTATAACATCAGAAGTGATGGGATTACTGGCCTATTTTTTCAAGGAGCACGCTGAGACTCCACGAGGAAAGATTTTGCCCAAGGTTGCAAGTTCACCTCAGCTGAGTCCCTCGGCGGAGGGACTCCAGACACCTTGGTGGTTTGGACACAGGGTCTTCGAAGGTCCTACTAGCAGAGGTCTGACGGTCTCTGCCTCTGTCTGGCCCTCAAGCCCAGTTTGGGGGCATGGGGAGTACCTGGAGGGCAGCAGAGACAGAGAAGCCCACGAGGCCGGCGCTGAGGTGGGCTTTGCTCAGCACAGCACACGTGGCAGCCGCAAACACCAGGCCATTCCCCAGGAGCTCCACATTGGCCGCAAGCCACCTGCAAAGGGAGGCGACAGCCGGGTGAGTGGGTACTCTTATCTGCAGGGAGATGCTTCTCTGGGCACAAGGACTGGTCATCACACCCGCTTCGTACCCACAGGGGTCCCAGCAATGGGCTCCACATGCAAGGCCCCACGCAGGCTCAGGGAGTAGAGGACGATGACACTGTCCTGTCTCAACTGAGCCCAGCTTAGGGTCTGGGGTACAATGGGTGTTCCACAGAGCTTCCCTGTGTGGCTGCTTTTCTGTCCCTGGAATTTGCCAAGCCATGTCCACCTGCCATTCCTCTGCCCTGACCTGTGGCCTCCATGGATTGACTCTGTGTCCCCACCCACATCTCATCTCCAATTGTAATCCCCACCTGTGGAGGGAGGGATCTGGTGGGAGGTGACTGGATCGTGGGGGCAGTTTTCCCCATGTTGTTCTCATGATAGTGAGTTCTCACGAGATCATATGGCATAAAAGGGGGCGGCAGTTCCTGCCTCGCACGCTCTCTCTCCTGCTGCCATGTAAGATGTGCCTTGCTTCCCTTTCCACCATGATTGTAAGTTTCCTGAGGCCTCCCCAGCCACGTGAAACTGTGAGTCAATTAAACCTTCCTTTCTTTATAAATTACCCAGTCTCAGGTAGTTCTTTATAGCAGTGTGAAGACGGACTAATACACAGCCCAGCCGGCTGGGGACCCGAGATGAAAGGAAAAAGGACTTCACATGTATTGAGTGCCTAGTTTGTACTTAACCCTCTCCACACTCTGGTACCACAATGCTTGGATCCAAATCCTGGCTCTGCCAGCATCAGCTGGGTGAAGTTGAACAAGTTTCCAAACCTCTCTGTGCCTAGGATTTATCATCTATAAAACAGTTTCGGCCTGTCAAAACTGTTAGCAGAATTAAATAAATTAATCTACATAGATTGCTCAGAACAGTGCTAGGCATGCAATAAGCATGTTACAAGTCTTACCTGTGAGTGTATTTAATCCTCATATCTACTACATGAGCATGATCCCAGTTTGACAAATGAAGCTCAGAGAGGTTATGTAACTTGCCTGAAATCAACCAGCTGGTAAGTGGCAGAGCTGGGATTTGAATCTGTGTCTATTTGTGCTTAAAGCTTATGTTCTTGTTCTTGCTTAGTACCTAAAGATGGCTGAGGATGCTTATATGGCTGCTTTATCACCAAGGCAAAAGAGGCTGATCCAGTTGCCTGGCAACAGAAGCTTCTTCCTGTACCCCCTGCCCACCTGCTGTTGAGAATCTCTCGGTCATGTTCCATCTGCCCACAGTGAGAACCGATAGACAGCCTGTGGGATCTAGCCTCAACTATGTCCCTGACTCTCTGGGTGACCTCTCTAGCCATACAATATGACCTCAGGTCTCACCCTCTAAGGATGTGGACGAATTACAAGGTCGTCTCTGCCCTGGCTCTTCCTACCTGTCAGCCACCAGTCGCGGGAAACTGATCCTCTGGCTTTCATCTACGCGAGCATTGTTCTGAGCCACAAACGGGGCCTGGGTTCGGAATGCCCGGACCACTGTGCTGCCCTGGAACGTCTCAGCCATGTGGGAGCAGACAGATGAGTAGCTGGCTGACTCCAAGCGTCTCAGCTGGCATGAGCTAACCACATACAGGCTCTGAGAAGGATGGATGGGAGAGGGGAGAGGAGAAGCCACAGACATAGGTAGTTTCCAGAAGCACAAAGAGCCCCAAGTACAGGATTCCAGACCAGGATCTGTTACCAGCTTGCTGTGTGACCTTGGGCTAGTTGCTTGACCTCTCTGGGTTCTCATTTCCTTGCAGAATCAGAGTTCTATGGTTTTTTTGAAAATCACCTGGGAAGCTTCAAAAACCTCTAATGCCCCACCCCAGAATGACTGAATCAGAATCTCTGGCAAAGTCACCTTGACTTTGGTGCTGTTTAAATAGCCTTCCAGATGATTCTAATGGACAGCCAGGGTTGAGAAACCACCAATTTAGTTTAAGTGTCTCACTTCCCAGCGCTGAGGTCGACTACTTCATTTAGGGCTGGTCATTGGGAGAACAAAACTGTAAGGGGCAGTGAAGGCAGTTGGCCAAGTCAGTTTCACTCATGTAACCCAAGGGTTACGTGCCAGGTGATGCACAGGAAATATGTGTTATTTGGTTTGCAGCTGCAGGTTAGGTGCAGCTAGCAGACAGGCAGGCAGGGAGGAACTGAATTTGCTGAACACCCAACTGTGTGTGCCAGGCTTTTTACACAGTGTCTCATTCATTGCAGAGTGAGCATTCGCGTCATTCACCAGTTAGTGGTGAGAACATCCGAGGCTCAGGGGATTCAGCAGCTGTCCTGAGAGCCACAGTAAGTGACAGAGCCTGGATTTCTCTTGACTACAAAGCTTGAGACAGAAACAGCCCATCCTCGGAGTCAAGTGAACTTAGAGAAGACCTGGGACAGTTGTCGGGGATGTGGTAGCCATGGGTTTTGGTTTTTGTTTTTTGAGATGGAGTCTCACTCTGTTGCCCAGGCTGGAGTACAGTGGCACAATCTCAGCTTGCTGCAACCTCTGCCTCCCGGGCTCAAGCAATCCTCCCGCCTCAGCCTCCCAAGAAGGTGGGATTACAAGCACGCACCACCGTCCTGGCTAATTTTTTGTATTTTTAGTAGAGACGGGGTTTTGCCATGTTGACCATGCTGGTCTCGAACTCCTGACCTCAAGTGATCCGCCCACCTCAGCCTCCCAAAGTGCTGTGATTAGAGGTGTGAGCCACCATGCCTAGCCCTAGCCATGGTTTTTATCTGACTACCATGTTTTCTTCTGCTCTACTTCTGGTTTCCTGTAGGAAAGGGCTGGGTTGAGGTGCTGTCAATCATGGGATGTGATCAGAGAGATGGTCACATGATGCATCCTAGCCTATCAGAGTCTACTATCCATTCAGTTACTGTGATGAGTTCAGAGATGGACACATGATCCACAAAGGGCCAATCAGAACCTTCCCTGGGATTAATATATGACTACTGAGCTGGAGAAATGTTTTTTGCATGTTGAGTTGCTAAGGTGAGATGATATGATGGCTAGTGGCCATCAGACCTGCCCCGGAAAGAGAGCATATACAAAATTAGACCAAACAGAGGTAAGCCAGTGGTTCCTAAACATTTGTGTGCATCAGAATTACTTGGAGGATTAATTAAAACCTAGATTCATGGGCTGAACCACATAGTATCTGAGTCAGCAGTCTTGGGCTGAGGCCTAAGAACGTACATTGCTAACTAGTCCCCAGGTGATACTACTGCTGGTCCAGGGGCCACACTTTGAGAAGCACTGGGTGAAGATATGGAGAGAGTCACTGTGTCCTGATGACAGCTGGGCCCATGCCCCCTAGGAAATGTAAGCCATTAAATTCTGTTCTTCTGGTTAAGCTAATTTTAGCTGGTCTCTGATCCCAGCAATGGAAAGAATCTAGCTTTATATAATAGCCTTTGAGAACTTGCAATGACTCTTTGGCTTCCAGATAATTGGAGAGGAAGAAATTACAGCAGAATAAAAACATTACACATGAAGAACTCTGGCCCTTAATATTTAACTGCACCATGAGGCACAGTGACTCATGCCTTATAATCCCAGAACTTTGGGAGGCCAAAGTGGGAGGATCACTTGAGGCTGGGAATTTGAGACCAACCTGGGCAACACAGCGAGACACGTGTCTTAAAAAAAATAAATTTAAAAATTAGCTAGGCATCGTGGCACTGCCTGTAGTCCCAGCTACTGGAGAGGCTGAGGTAGGAGGATCACTTAAGCCCAGGAGTTCAAGGCTGCAGTGAGCTATGATAACCTATTGCATTTCAGGAGAGCAAGATTCTGTCTCTCTAAAGAAAGAGAACTTTGATGTGAACATTTAGAGACAGAGACTAGTGGAGATATCAGAAAGACTGTAGTGTCTCTGTCCCTGGGAATTCTAGGAACATCCCCTAGATGTCCAGCTGGGTGAAACCTCATATGTGGAGTCTTCCCCAGAGACAGGGGACTGGCTGAGTTGATCTCAGCTGGTCCCAGAAGGCTCCCTGACCTCTCCATACCTGAAACCCAGCGTAGAGGAGAAACAGTGGCAGGATGGCCACAATGGCCAGTGGAGTAGTCACTGCCACCACCAGGCTGACCTCCAGGAGTCCGAAGGCATACATCAGCAGGGACCGGAGTTTGTCTGGAATGTCCACATCAACCGTGTCTGTCTCCTTGGAGAAGCGGTTCAGCAGGTTGCCGATGGGTGTCCGCTCAAAGAAGCTGATGGGCGATCGCACCACATCCCACAGGAGCCTCTGGAAGAGCAACCTGGATGCCCGGACCCCACCTAGGAGCACCGCAGCCATGGACGCAAACAGCCCAATGGCTGGGGAGGGAGAGGAGGTAAGGGCATGAAGGCTGGAGACCCTCAGGACCGCCCTGTGGGGCCTTGCGCAGGTCTCTCCCGCTACCCCATGGTGGACATCTTACGGCTTGGCCACCCTTATTGTTATATATTTTTTGAGACAGGGTCTCACTCTGTCACCCATGTTGAAGTACAGTAGCATGATGATGGCTCACTGCAGCCTTGACCTCCTGCACTCAGGCGATCCTCCCGCCTCAGCCTCCGAGCAGCTGGGACCACAGGTGTACGCCACCATGCTGGCTAATTTTGGGTATTTTTTGTAGAGATGGGATCTTGCTATGCTGCCCAGGCTGGTCTCGAACTCCTGAGATCAAGTGATCTGCCTGCCTTGGTCTCCCAAAGTGCTGAGATTACAGGTATGAGCCACTGCACCTGTACCCTGCTTGTTTCTTGATGTAATGGGTTGAAGAGTGTCCTCCCAAATTAATTTGGGATGGGTCCTAAATTCAGTGACTGCCATTTATATAAGACTACTAGAGGATACTCAGAGACACAGCAGGAGACATGAAGATGGTGACACAGATGGGAGGGCACATATACAAGCCAAGGAATGCCAGAGACTGCCGGTGACCACTGCAAACCAGGAGAAAAGCATGGGACGTTTTCTCCCTCAGAACCTCCACAAGGGGCTGGGCACAGTGGCTCATGCCTGTAATCCCAGCACTTTGGGAGGCCAAGGCAGGTGGATCACCTGAAGTCAGGAGTTTGAGACCAACCTGACCAACATGGTGAAACCCTACTAAACCCTACTCTCTACTAAAAATACAAAAATTAACTGGGCATGTTGTCAGGCATCTATAGTCCCAGCTACTCAGGAGGCTGAGGCAGGAGAAACACTTGAACCCGGGAGGCGGAGGTTGCAGTGAGCCATGAGCCGGGATCGTGCCACTGCACTCCAGCCTGGGCGACAGAACAAGACGCCGTCTCAAACAAACAAACAAACAAACAAACAAACAAAAAAAACAAAAAAAACCTCCACAATGAGTGAACACTGCTGACACCTTCATTTTAGACTTCAGGCCTCAGAACTGCGACAGAACAAATTTCAATAGTGCTAGGCTCCCAAGTTTGTGGAAACTTGTTTGGCAGTAGCCCTAGGAGAGAAATGTACATCCTTCCTCCCAATGCTAATCTATATGCGTGGGGTGGGGCTAACTTCTCCTCTGGGGTGGGGCAAATTTCACCCACGGCCAATCCAAACCACTGCAATAGGTTCAGGGATGAACGCATAACCCAAGTCAGGCCAATGACAGGGAGACCTGGGACTTCACTAGAACTTTTGGAAAAGTGGTACTGGGTGGTGGGAGGTGGCCAAGCTGGAGCTGTGGAATATCATCTTACCGCCAGGGGGAGCAGCTGAGCTGGACAGGAAGCTGTCCCAGAGGAGGGAAATGAAGCAATTTCTTGTTTGGACCCCTACATCCAGACATACCTGAAGCCAGAAATCTATGGATGCTGGTCCCAAGAGCCAATCAGTTCTCTTGTTGCTTAAACCACTTTGAATTGGAGCTGAATTTGTTTATTTTCAGACGGAGTCTTGCTCTGTCACCCAGGCTGGAGCTCAGTGGTGCAATCTCTGCTCACTGCAACCTCCACCTCCCAGGTTCAAGTGATTCTCCTGCGTCATCCTCCCAAGTAGCTGGGATTACAGGCACTGACACCACGCCTGGCTAATTTTTATATTTTTAATAGAGACGGGGTTTCACCATATTGGCCAGGCTGGTCTTGAACTCCTGACCTCAAGTGATCTACCCACTTTGGCCTCCCAAAGTGCTGGGATTACAGGCATGAGCCACCGTGTCTGTCCTGGAGCTGAATTTTTTATTGTTTGTATTCGACAGTCATAACCAATTTCTCTCAGCTCCCGTCTCTCCATCTTTAAGGGAGAGTAAGACTTGCCCTTAGCTATCAAACGAGGGATGGAAGTGGAAGGATTTTGAAAGGGCTATTTGCCACCCAAATGAGGATTTGGGTTCATTCCAGGACTCAGCTGACTCTGACAATCCCTAATTTCCTCTTGGTTAAGTAACCGTTCGCCTTGAATATTCTATTGTACATGCCGTTGTGGTGAGTAGGTGTACAGGTTCTTAGGACTAGAAGAGTCCTCAAATTCAGGCCTGGTGCCCCCCATTTTACAGAGGAGGGCACAGGCTCACAGCATTTGGGTGATGTGGCCAAGGTCACCCAGTGAATGAGGACGAATCAACATGGAAACGAGGCAACTGTCCTTTAAAGAGGAAGCCAGGCCAGGCGTGGTGGCTCATGCCTGTGATCCCAACACTTTGGGAGGCTGAGGCAGAGGATTGCCTGAGCCCAGAAGTTTGAGACCAGCCTGGGCAACACGGCAAAACCCTGTTTCCATCAAAAACAAACAAACAAAAATTAGCCAGGCATGGTGGCGTGTGCATGTAGTCCCAGCTACTCGGGAGGCTGAGGTCGCAGGATCGCTTGAGCCCAGGAGGCAGAGGTTGCAGTGAGCCGGGTTCGTGCCACTGCATTCCAGCCTAGGTGACAAAGCCAGACCCAGTCTATATGTACGTGTGTGTGTGTCTAAAGAAGAAGCCAAACTCACGTGTGCACTCTTGGTCCTCCCTTCAGCCAGGCCACGTATTAAAAGGAGAAGAACCAGGGGTTAGGGACTGGGTGGGTGAGGCAGGAGGAGGGTGGGTGTAGTTGCAAAAGGGCAACATGGGAGTGCCTTGAGGTGAGGGGATTGTTCAGTGTCTCAACCATTAACCATTGTGATGGATGCGAAAGCCTGAACGGGGGACACAACTGCACAGAGGCAAACATGCGCACACCTACGTGCAATCAAAACTGGGGAAATCACAATGAGATCCATAGGGCCGGGCGCGGGGGCTCACACCTAGCTGTAATCCCAACACTTTGGGAGGCCGAGGCGGGCAGATCATTTGAGGTCAGGAGTTGGCCAACATGGTGAAACCCCATCTCTACCAAAAATACAAAAATTAACCGGGCTGCACACTTATAATCCCAGCTTCCAGCTACTCGGGAAGCTGAGGCAGGAGAACTTCCTGAACCTGGGAGATGGGGGTTGCAGTGAGCTGAGACTGCAGCACTACACTCTAGCCTGGGCGACAGAGCAAGACTCGGTCTCAAAATAAATTAAATAAATAAATAAACAAACAAATGAGGTCCATGGATTGATGGGTGTCAGTATCCTTTGTGATACTTTACTATCATTTTGCAAAATATCACCACTGGGAGAAACCGGGCAGACTGTATAAGGTAGCTGGTCACCTTATTTCCTAGAACTGCATGTGAATCTACAATTATTTCAAGAAGTAGTTCCATCTATTTTATTTTATTTATTTTATTTTTTTGAGACGGAGTCTCGCTCTGTCTCCCAGGCTGGAGTACAGTGGCGCGGTCGCGGCTCACTGCAAGCTCCGTCTCCTGAGTTCACGCCATTCTCCTGCCTCAGCCTCCTGAGTAGCTGGGACTACAGGTGCCTGCCACCACCCCCGACTAATATTTTGTATTTTTAGTAGAGACGGGGTTTCACTGTGTTAGCCAGGATGATCTCGATCTCCTGACCTCATGATCCGCCCGCCTCGGCCTCCCAAAGTGTTGGGATTACAGGCGTGAGCCACTGCGCCCGGCTGTATTTCCATCTTTAATAAGGAGAAGATGGAGTGACAGCGGTAATGGATCTGTTAGGGAGGGTCTGGTTCTGTCTGGAGGTTTGGGGGCAGGCACTGAAAGTCACCAGCACGCAGGCCTTGGAGCTGCCATCCGCTAGCGGGGAGGAACTGGGAGAAGTTCTGAAGCTTCCAGAAAAGGAGGGATGTGCCCTGTCCTCCCCATTCCCTCCAGCCTCATCTGAAGGACAGAGATCTTTGCCTGGACCCCAGACATTTTGCACAGTTGTTCCAGGGGGCACAGGGTGACCCAGGGAGAGGTGAGGAAAAGGACCCCCGAGCACCCCTCAGGGGAGCTGGGAGGACGGAGATGAGGAGGGCAGGTGAGGCATACCTTGGAGACAGCCGAGGAGCCCGAAGATCCCACCACGCAGGGCTGCCTGCGTCTGCTGCCCACCCACTTTGGGGTCGTCCGCCCACAGGCTCAGCCAGTAACCCCGGCAGAAGGACGCCACTTGCTGGCAGAGGAAGAGGAAGAGTGCATAGAGGCAGAGGGGGGTGCCCACCGCACGCAGGTAGGCCAGGTGCACTGTGGCCTTCACCTGTAGCACACATGAGGGAGAGGGAGGCAGAGAGAGCCCCCAGCGGGACGGGTGAGTTGAGGCAAGGCCAGGCGAGGCTCCCAGAAAACATGCCCATGGGCAGATGGAAGCGCCACACAGACCTCACAGGTTCTGCCGCCGCGCCTCCCACAGACAGGCCCCAGCCAGCCTTAGAACCCCCATCTCCTACCCAATCCCCAGTGAGCTCGTATTAATATTTTTTCTTTTGTTTTTATTTTCCTTATTTATTTTTTTGAGGACAGGGTCTTGCACTCTGTCACCCATGTCACCCAGGCTGGAGTACACCGGCGCAATCATGTCTCACTGTAGCCTTGAACTCCAGGCTTAAGTAATCCCCCCGCCTCAGCCTCCCGAGTAGTCAGGGCTATAGGTTTGTACCACCATGCTTTGTTAATGTTCATAGTTTTAAAGAGATGGAGTCTCGCTATGTTGCCCAGGCTGGTCTCAAACTCCTGGCCTCAAGCGATCCTCCCTCCTCGGCCTCCCAAAGCGCTTGGATTACAGGTGTGAGCCTCCACACTCAGCCAGAAGGGTTTTCTTGAACACTCACCGTGGGTCAGGCATGTGTCTCTGCTCATAATAACCTCAATTTCACAGATAAGGAAACTGAGGCACAGAACGGGTCAGCCACTGGCTTAACGTCCTGCTCCTACAAATCTGAAGTTCTCTGCACAGCTGCAGCCAGACAGCACTGTTGAAAACATTAATCTAATTATATCTTGTTGCTGGCCTGTGCATGGCTATCTCTTGCTCTCAGAAGAAATTCCAGCCAGGCGAGGTGGCTCATACCTGTAAGCGCTTTGGGAGGCCGAGGCGGGTGGGTCACCTGAGCTCGGGAATTTGAGACCAGCCTGGACCAACACGGTGAAACCCTGTCTCTACTAAAAATACAAAAATTAGCCAGTTGTGGTGGCGGGCGCCTGTAATCCCAGATACTTGGGAAGCTGCGGGAGAATCACTTGAACCTGGGAGACAGAGGTTGCAGTGAGCCGAGATTGCACCATTACACTCCTGCCTGGGCGACAAGAGTGAAACTCCGTCTCAAAAATAAAAATAAAAATAAATTCCAAGCTTCTTATCTTGCCCCCACTCACTGCCTGCCAGCCTCATGGGACCCCTTTCTCTGGCACCCTAAGCTACTTCCCACCTCGGAGCCATTGTACCTGCTGCTCCCTTTGCCTGGAGCGCTCTTTCTCCTGACCTTTGTATGACTGGTTCCTTCACATGTTCTTCGGGGAAGCTCAAATGGCACTTCTCAGAGCATCCTATCCATACCAACCATGACCCTCAGTTGGTCTCCATGGCAGGGTCTCACTCTGTCACCCAGGCTGGATTGCCGTGACATGATCATAGCTCACTGCAGCCTCGAACTCCTGGTCTCAAGCAATCCACCTGCCTCAGCCTCCAAAAGTGTTGGGATTACAGGCATGAGCCACTGCGCCCAATCATTCTTATTTATAGCACTTATTGCGATTGGATATAGCTTGCTTATTAGCATCATTATTTGCTCTCCATTTATCTTCACTAGTATCTAATCTCCACCAGACTTAGCCTGGCACACAGTGGGTACCGTGTACATGTTTGCTGGATGGATGAGAGGGTAGGTGGGTGAATAAATGAGTGGGTGGGTAGGTAGGTAGGTGTATGAATGAATGAGTGGATGAATGGATGGAGAGATCAATGAATGGATGAACAGCTGAACAGACAAAGGCATAGGTGAGGGAATTGTTGTATTGTTAGGTGGGATAGATGGATGGGTAAGTGAATGGGATGGATAAATGAGTAGGTGGGTGAGTGGATGGGATGGAGAGATAAATGAGTGGGTGGGATGGATAAACGAGTGGGTGGTATGGATGAATGAGTGGGTGGGATGGATGGATGAATGAGTGGGTAGGATGGATAAATGAGTAGGTGGGTGAATGAATGGGATGGATAAATGAGCGGGTGGGATGGATGGGTGGGTAGGTGGATGATCATCTAGGTGGATGATGGTGGATAAGTAGGGGGGTGGAGATACACAGCAGTATAGAAGAGGAGAAACAGTACAAACTTCAGACTCAGACTGGCCTAGACTTGGGTCCCAGATTTGAGTCCCAGGTTGAGTCCCAGGCTAGCTATGAAAACACAGACAAGGCTCTTAACTCTTTAAGACTTCAGTTTCTTGGCCAGGCACAGTGGCTCACACCTGTAACCCCTGCACTTTGGGAGGCAGAGGCCAGAGGATCACTTGAGCCCAGGAGTTCGAGACCAACCTGGGCAACATAGCAAAACCCCATCTCGATTAAAAATACAAACACTAGCTGGGCATGGTGTCACAAGCTTGCAGTCCCAGCTACTTGAGAGACTGAGGTAGGAGGATTGCTTGAGCCCAGGAGGTCGAGGATGCAGTGAGCTGTGATTACATCATTGCAGTCCAGCCTGGGTGAGTGAGAAAGCCACTTTCTCAAAAGCAAAATAAAATACATTTTAAAAGACTTCAGTTTCTTTATGTCTGAAATAGAGCTATCATACCTTTTTTTTTTTTTTTTTAGTCTGGGAGACTGGAGATGATATTTAATCTGATAACTGAATGACAAGAAGGAACATAATATAGGAAGTTCAGCATATCATATCTATTTTTTAGGGCGGTTGTGAGGATTAAGAAAATGAAGGTCTAGAATGCTACTGGCACATAGTAGGTGCTCAAGAAAGGTGAGTATGACTGCCGCCCTACTGCAAGTTCTACATTTGTTGGGAGGACTTGGGTCCCCGGAGGCGGCAGCAGCAGGTGGGGAGGGGTAGATGAAGCTGGTGATTACCCTGCCATATTGCATGCTGTTCTTTCCTGTTGGCCATCCTGCCCTGTCAGGGTCATCTAGAGGAACCTCCATCTGGGCTTCTGAAGTGGTCTGGTCTTTCTCAGGGACTGACTTGATGGACCTGTCATTTAGAGGAAATGAAGACCAAGTCAGTGTCTCTCCCAGTGGCGGGGTGTGTGTGCCCAACCCTCAGGCCCACTGACAGCCACTGAGCTCTGGATACACTCTCTACTCATTCATTCATTCATTCATTTATCTAACAAAATACTGACCAGATATCACACTTCCCTTCTGTCTGTGTGGTACCCAGCTAAATGCCATCTATTATCCCAGGGTCAAGCAAGCCCCTTCTTCTGATGCCAGTTCACAGGATGAACTTAACTTGCCCACCATTGGAACTCCGTTCTCAGAATTTTCTTTTCTTTTTTTTTTTTTTTTTTGAGACAGGGTATTGCTACGTTGCCCAGGTTGGTCTCAAACCCCTGAGCTCAAGCAATCTGCCCGCCTCAGCCTCCCAAAGTGCTGGGATTACAGGCATGAGGTGCCACACCCAGCCTGTTCTCAGAATTTTTATTTTGGCTTAAGCTTTGGTGCAATTGTTTTGCTCCTACTGTTTACCATCAGATTTGTCAGTCCAACTGGCAGAATATAAATTATGAACAATTCAGACGCTAAAGACTTTTTGAATGTTTTATCTATGGTTAAGTGGGCTGACTTAACCTCTGCACCTCAGTTTCCTCAGCTGTAAAAATAGGAATATTATCTATCCATCCATCCATTGAAACATTCGTCTACATATATGTATATCTACATATACATGTCTACCTACCTACTATTAAATTAAGTTTAGCGCAAAGCTGCCTCCTTACATATTTTAACTTTGGCCTAAAGGTTTTCCTGTACATAGTGAACTGTAACCTAACTGGACTCAAACAGACTGCAACCTACTCCTGTGTCAATCACTGAGTTTCAGCCAATCAAAGGCAGCCAATGGTGCAAACCATGTTCAAATAAAGCAGACACTGAGCTGTAACCAGTCTGGCTGTTTCTGTACCCACTTCTGTTTTCTGTCCTTCACCTTCCTTTTTCTGTCCATTAATCTTTGACCCCGTGGCTGTTCCAGAGCCTCTCTGGACATATTCTGGTTCAGGGGCTGCCTGATGTGCAGATCATTCTTTGCTTAATTAACATCTTTCAGCCAGGTGCAGTGGCTCACGCCTGTAATCCCAGCACTTTGGGAGGCTGAGGCAGGTGGAACACCTGAGGTCAGGAGTTTGAGACCAGCCTGGACAACACGGCAACACCCTGTCTCTACTAAAAATACAAAAATTAGCTGGGCCTGGTGGCATGTGCCTGTAATCCCAGCTACTCAAGAGACTGGGCATAAGAATCACTTGAACCCGGGAGGCGGGGATTGCAGTGAGCCAAGATCGTACCATTGCACTCCAGCCTGGGCGACAGAGCAAGGTTCCGTCTCAAAAAACAACCCCAAAAAACAAAAAGCCTCAGACACATTAAATTTGCTAGAGGTTAATTTGGCACAATCTCGGCGCATCTCGGCGCACTGCAACCTCCACCTCCCGGGTTCAAGCGATTCTCCTGCCTCAGCCTCCCGAGTAGTTGGGACCACAGGCACACGCCACCACACCGGCTTCTTAAAACTTTTTAATTTTTTTAAAATTTTTTATTTTTAGTAGAGATGGGGTTTCAGCATGTTGGCCAGGGTGGTCTCGAACTCCTGACCTCAAGTGATCCACCCACTTTGGCCTCCCAAAGTGCTGGGATTTACAGGTGTGAGCCACCATGCCCAGCCTTAATGTGTCTACTGGTTTTCTTTTAACGTGACTAGCTATCCATCTGATCTTACTTCAGACTCTTGTGTACTGTGAAGATGGTGAGTGTGCGTGTGACTGAGAAGTGCCCTTAGGGTGGCTAGCTGGGATGGGGATCAGCCCCTGTGGTCCCCAGGGACGGAGGCCCCTCAAGATCACTGCCGCCCCCCACCCCTGTATAGCAGGCACTTAAGCTCGGGCCACCTGGTACCAGTGGCCTGCTGTTCTGCTTCCCAAGACCCCTCTCATTAAGAGGGGAGAGTATCAGGCAGCAGGTCCTTCTGCTGCAGACAGCCCCACAGTGAGCCCAGCTGTGTCCCGCCTGGAGGGAGCTGAGAGAAGAGGGGACCGCAGTCCTCCTCCTGGCCCCTTGCCCACGTGTTCTGGCCAGCGTCAAGTGATGCTGTGCATACAGACCTAAACCCTGTGCATAGCCAACCTGTCAAAGCATAGGTGACCGGGCCTGGCATGGTGGTTTACAGCTATGGGGAGGAACCAGTCCTGCCCTATTGCAGCACTGAGACCACTCCAGCAAGCTGGCCTCGGCCCACTTGAAGACACCCATCACACTGGAAGGCGTATTGTTCATTCCATGAACTGGCCCTCTGAGGACCTAATCACTAACTGGACCAGTTTTGGTAAATTATCCCTCAGCAGGGCACCATGGGGGGACTTCAGCAGGTTCTGCATCCATAATGGTTTTTGTTGTCTCCCTAACTGCCTGAGATGCGGGTGGTTCCTTCAGCTACTACTTCAGCTTCAGCCTGTGCCCTTCCGAGTGTGGCACCATGGCGGACTCACCTCTCGGGTCTAAGCTCGGGCCTCCTGCCTGCAGAGGAGCCTCTGGGGTCCTTGGTGCTGGTCCCAGGTTCTGTTTCTGCAAGGTCAAGAGAGTCCTGTCACACAACACGGCCCAGATACCCACTTTGATACCCACTGACTATGTGGCCTTAACTGCTCTGACGATCCATTTCCCCTGATCTGGCTCCTGCCACCTCTCCAGCAACCTCTCTCAACACCCCACCTGAGTTCTTCCGGGAATATCCTTCAGGCATTCACTCACTCATTCGTTTCTTCAATCAGTGAATATAACTGAGCACCTGCTATGAACTTGAGGTTGGAAAAACAGCATTTAACACCATACAAAGTCACGTTATCTCTGTTTCTCCCAACAGCTTTGCTCAAGCAGTTCCTTGTGTCTGGAATGTTCTTTTCTGGCTCTCACCTGCCCTCAGGTACCATCTCCCCTAGGAAGGACACCTCCCCACCACTATCCCCCAGGTGTGGCCAGTCACTGAAAGCAGATCTGTAGTAGTTTAACCACAGACCTGTAAGCAAGAAATAACTGCTACTGTAGGCTGATGAGATTTGGGGGCTATTTGTTACACAGCATGATCACAGCAAAAGCTAACCAATACAAGCAGGCAAGTTCTATCTTCGAGCTTCAGGACTGTGACACTGTGAATCAACACTTAAGGTTTTTACCAGGGTGGGCCAGTGCTAAGCAGATGTTCTCAGAAGAAGCAAAGCCTGAGATTGAGGGAGACCTGGGTGTGAGTCTTTGCTTTGTCACGAAGGGATAGTATAAAGTGTAATGATTAAAAAACACATTCTCTGGAATCAAGTTGCTTGGATTCAAATCCCAGTGCTGTCACTTATAAGCCATGTAACCTGGGACTAGTTCCTTAACTTCTGGGCCTCAGTTTCCTCATCTGTGAAATGGAAATGATTCTAGTACCAGCCTCACAGGGGCATTATGTTGATTAAATGAGCTAACGTATGTGATGTGCTGTTAGTTGCTACTTTTCAGTCATTGCAGGTGAGCTTGGCTTGGCAACTTTACTTCCAGAAACTTGTCATGTATCCAGCACATTCTGTGTTCTTTGGATTATTAGAAACTCTAGCTAACATGGTGTAGCTTTCTAGGCATCAAAATCCTTCTTGGGCTGTCTGCATAGCAACTGCAAGCATAGACTCCGGAGTTGGACACATTCAAGTTCTAATCTTGTGACCTTGGGCAAGTGATTTCACTCTCTTTGCCTCAGTTGGCTCATCTGTAAAATGACAGCAATAACTTCACATGCCTCTGGGGGTACTGTGAGAATCAAATGAAATAGTGTATTTTTACAGAAGCACTTAGCACACCCCCCGGCTCATAGATGGTGTTATTGGCTATTCCTGGAGTGGGAGAGCTGTCTGCTTCCAGGCCTAGGCCCGCAGGGAGAGTATGACCAGAGCACTCCATTCATGCCAGTAGGACCCTTTGAGCCTTTTTCCCCAAGGATGGCAGGAGCCAGGCATGAAGAATCAGCAAAGCCCACCTAGTACCTCCTTCTCCTGTATCTCCTGGCTGTCTGGCTTGATCCAGAAGACCCATGAGGGCCCCCTTCCTCTGCAGAAGCTCCTGGTAGGAACCCATCTCTGCGATGGCCCCATCTGCCAGCACCACGATCCAATCAGCCTGGGGCAGGATGTGGAGTGCGTGGGTCACGAGAATCCGTGTCTGGGCAGGGAAGGGGTAGAAGTTACGCACATGTGGCTGGGCACAGTGGCTCATGCCTGTAATCCCGACACTTTGGGAAGCCAAAACAGGTAGATCACTTTAGGCCAGGAGTTCGAGACCAGCCTGGCTGACATGCCTAAGCCCTGTCTCTACTAAAAATACAAAAATTAGCTAGGTATGGTGGTGCACACCTGTATTCCCAGCTACTTTGGAGGCTGAGGCAAGAGAAGCACTTGAACCTGGGAGGTGGAGGTTGCAGTGAGGCGAGATTGGACCACTGCACTCCATCCTGGGTGACAGAGCAAGACTCTGTCAAGAAAGGAGAGAAAGAAAAGGAAAGGAAAGGAAAAGGAGAGAGAGAGGGAGAGAGAGAGAGAGAGAGAAAGAAAGAAAGGAGAGAAAGAAAAGGAAAGGAAAGGAAAGGAAAAGGAGAGAGAGAGAAAGAAAAAGAAGAAAGAAAGATAAGAAAGAAAGAAGAAAGAGAAAGAAGAAAGAGAGAAAGAGGAAGGAAGGAAGGAAGGAAGGGGAAGGGAAAGGGGATAGGAAGGGGAAGGAGGGGAAGGGAAGGGAGGGGGACAGGGGAAGGGGAAGGGGAAGGGGAAGGGGATGGGGAAAGGGGAAAGGGAAGGGGAAGGGAATTACACATATGTGCCTGGCCAGCCTTCTGAGCTGGGGGTTGGGGTGGGGGTGTTATCCCCAGACTCAGAGGGGGGACAGCTCCCCTTCTTGTGCTCCTGCCACCTTTCTTATGAACAGCATGTCCAAATAGAGAAACAGAGGGGACTCCTTTAGCCTGTGTCTCAAAACAAGAAGACAGGGAGTCCATCTGACCCTGGCCAGTCATCCAAGGCAAAGCTGTAGTAGTTAAACCACAGATCCATGAGCAAGAAACCCCTGCTGTTGTAAGCTGCTGGGATCTGGGGGTTGTTTGTTACACAGCATTGTCACAGCAAAAGCTGACCAATACGAAGAGGAAAATTGGACTCAAGTGGAAGGGGGAGGTGAGATAAATTTGGGTTAGGACTGGATGCTAAGGGCTTCCTCTGCCTTTGCCTTATGCCCTCTGACACATGTTCCCAAACTTACTGTTCCCTGGAGTAGCCCACCAGGTCCGATGACCTGGTTGAAGACATGCTGGCCAACGTGGGCATCCAGGGCTGCCAGGGGGTCATCCAGCAGGTACACAGCTGCCTTCCTGTACACAGCCCGGGCCAGGCTCAGCCGCTGCTTCTGGCCTCCAGAGAGATTCATGCCCTGTGGCCACAAAAGGCACAGTGGCCTGAGTCAGCATCTATAGGGTGAAACTGGGGTGCCCAGGCTGGCGCAGGCCAGGGCACACCTGCCCATCAGAGTGAGGTGCAGCTCAACATGCCTATTACCTGGGGACACGCCCAGCATCAAAGGCACTCGCTCTCAAGCCGACAATGCCTCCATCCTTACCCGACCTCACTTCTCCCCTTCCCCGGCATGTTTCCTGGAGGAGCTACCCACACTTCCCAATCCACTCTGTCTCCTCCTTCTCACTCCCTGTATCCCTTTGAGTCCAACTTCTGTTTCCCCGTCTCCATTGAGACCACCTTCACTGAGGACACCATTCATTTCCCTATTCCCTCATCCAATGGTAGCTTTTCAGTCCTACTTTTTAATTTTAAATTTTAATTGTTTTATTTAAGCTTTTATTGATATCTAATAGTTGAAACTCTTTGAGGGACACAAGTGATATTTTGATACCTGTAGGGCAGTCGTCCCCACCCTTTTTGGCACCAGGGACCGGTTTTGCAGAAGACAATTTTTCCATGGACCTGGGGGCAGGGGGATGGTCCAGGAGATGGTTTCAGGGTGATTCAAGCACATTACATTTACTGCGCACTTTACTTCCATTATTATTATTATTACTATAACTATTATTATTTTCAAGATGGAGTTTCGCTCTTGTCACACAGGCTGGAGTGCAATGGCGTGATCTTGGCTCACTGCAACCCCTGCCTCCTGGGTTCAAGCAATTCTCCTGCCTCAGCCTCCTGAGTAGCTGGAATTACAGGTGCCCACCACCATGCCTGGCTAGTTTCTGTATTTTTAGTAGGGACGGGATTTCACCTTGTTGGCCAGGCTGGTCTCGAACTCCTGATCTCAGGCGATCCACTACGCCTCAGCCTCCCAAAGTGCTGGGATTACAGCCATGAGCCACTGCGCCCAGCCTACTTGTATTATTATTACATTGTAATGTATAATGAAATACACAACTCACCATCATGTAGAATCAGTGGAAGCCCTGAGCTTATTTTCCTGAAACTAGACGGTCCCTTCTGGGGGAGATGGGAGGCAGTGACGGATCATCAGGCATTAGATTCTCATAAGGAGCACGCAGCCTAGATCCCTCACATGGGCAGGTTACAGTAGGGTTTGCGCTCCTGTGAGAATCTCATGTTGCCACTGATCTAACAGGAGGCAGAGCTCAGGCGGTGATGCGAACAATAAGGAGTGGCTGTAAATACAGATGAAACCTCACTGGCCTGCCCTCTGTCCACCTCCTGCTGTGCTGCCTGCCCAGTTCCTAACAGGCCACAGACTGGTGCTGATCCATGGCCAGGGGGATTGGGGACCCCTGCTGTAGACAATATGTAATGGTCAAATCAGGGTAACTGAAATCGTCATCACCTCAAATATTTATCTTCTGTATTGTGAACACAACAATGCTTCTCTTCTCGCTATCTTGAAATACACAAATAAATGATCATTAACTATAATTTCCCATGTGCACTATTGATTACTATAACTTATTCATTCTATCTAGGCCTTCTTGTCTTCATTCATTCTTTTCAAAATTATTTTTATTTATTTTTGAGACGGAGTTCCACTCTGTCGCCCAGGCTGGAGTGCAATGGCTTGACCTCGGTTCACTGCAACTTCCACCTCCTAGGTTCAAGTGATTCTCCTACCTCAGCCTCCCAAGTAGCTGAGATTATAGGTGTGCCACCATGCCTGGCTAATTTTTGTATTTTTAGTAGAGATAGGGTTTCACCATGTTGGCCAGGCTGGTCTCGAACTCCTGACCTCAAGCAATCCACCCGCCTCAGCCTCCCAAAGTGCTGGGATTACAGGCGTGAGCCACTGCACCCAGTCATTCATTCATTCTTACATTCATTCATTCCACTAATAACTACTGCCTGGTTATCATATACCCAGTAGCGTTCTAGGTTCTGGGGAAACAGCAATGAGCAAAACACAGTTGTTGCTCTCTGAATGGATCCATCATTCTAATGAAGGGGAGAGAGACAGGCAATCCGTAAACAAGTAACATCAGGTAGAAAGTGCTATGAGGAATAAATACTAAAGCAGGTGGAGCCAGATGTGGTGGCTCACGCCTGTAATCCCAGCACTTTGGGAGGCTAAGGTGGGTGGATCCCTTGAGGTTAGGAGTTCGAGACCAGTCTGGCCAACATGGTGAAACCCCATCTCTACTAAAAGTACAAAAAAAGAGAAAAAAAAATTAGCCAGGCATGGTGGCACATGCCTGTAATCCTAGCTACTCATGAGACTGAGGTGGGAGGATTGCTTGAACTCAGGAGGTGGAGGTTGCAGTGAACTGAGATTGCGCCACTGCACTCCAGCCTGGGCAACAGAGTGAGACTCCAACTCAGAAAAAAAAAAAAAAAGGAAAAAGCAGGTGCAGGTGTAGGGTACACTAGCATTAGCAGGGTTGCTGTGGTGGTAGATAAGGTGGTCAGAAAAGGCCTCTCTGTGAAGGTGATAGAAGAGAGGGATGAACCCTGGGGACTCCTGGGAAGAGCTTTCCAGCAGAGGGAACAGCAGGTGCAAAGGCCCTGGGGTCAGAGTGTGTGATATCAGGAAATATCACAGAGACTCAGGTGGCTGGAGTAAAGCTGGGAGATGATGATGGAAGATGGGGCTAATGGATACCACAGCCAGGTCACAGGGACCTCGTTAGAGATGATCACGACTTGGGCTTTGACTGTGAGGTAAATAGGGAGATCACCTGAGGTCCAGAGTTCGAGACCAGCCTGGTCAACATGGTGAAACCCCGTCTCTACTACAGGTACAAAAATTAGCCAGGTGTGGCGGCATGCGCCTGTAATCCCAGCTACTCAGTCGGCTGAGGTGCGAGAATTGCTTGAACGTGGAGGTGGAGTTGCAGTGAGCCGAGATTGCGGCACTGCACTCTAGCCTGCACAACAGAGCGAGACTCCATCTCCAAAACAAAACAAGACAAAACACCACAAGCGGTGGGCTGGATTTGGCTGGGGGTCACAGTTTGCCAACCCCTGCCCAATCCATAGCTCCAGATGCATATATCCTGTTTCTTGGACTTCTCTGTCTAGGCCCTTTGGTGAGGCCCAGAGAGGGGAAGCAATTAGACCCACGTCACCCAGCAAGGCAGGGCCGAGTAAGACAGGAGTCTAGGTCTTCTCCCTCTCAGCTGTCAGAGAGCCCCTCACCACCAATCCCTGGCACAATGCCCTGCCTCTCTCTTTGTGTCTATTTCTACTTATCGATTCATGATTATGTATTGAGCACCTACTATGTGCTTGATCCTGAGCTCAGCCCTTTTTCTCCCCCACTTCCCTGACCGCTCCCCCCATTTCTCCATCATACTGCCCACGAGGAGTCAGGAACCCAAATGACCCCCAACTGCAATGTTTCCCTGTCACAAAAAGATGCCGAAACTCTCACCTGCTCCCCAATTGAAGTGTGCACGCCCTCAGGGAAGCTGTCCACATCCGGCCGCAGGGCGCAGGCCTCTAGGACTCTCTCCAGCCAGGCTGGCTCCAGCTCCTGCCCGAAGCACACGTTCTCAACCACGGAGGTGTTCTGCACCCAGGCCTCCTGGGGCACGTAGGCCACAGCACCCTAAAACACAACTTACTTTGGTCACAGGAGGATGATGGGGACAGAGGTGGGATAAGTTTTGAGGAGCAGCGGGAGCTGGGCTCTCGGTGGTGGGTGGGAGGTGGAGAGAATCGGTGAAAGTGAGCTTGGCTGGAATGGGGAGGGATGGGAAGGCAGCGAGGAAGGGGGACCTTCAGGACGCAGACATCCTAGCAGACGGGTGGGGGGTGGCCTCACCTTGATGCTCATGAATCCGTCTACCTTTGACAGCTCCCCAAGGAGGGCGGACAGCAGGGAGGACTTCCCTGCCCCCACTGGACCGACAATAGCCAACAGACAGCCCTGGGGCACGGTGAGGTTTATTCTGGCCACACAAGAGGGGAGACATGACATGACTTTGGTTAGGGTTCGACCCGCCTCTGTGAGGAAGGATGAGGCCCAGATGGAGCCAGGATTTCCTGCTCTGGGAGTCTCCAAGAGGACTTGTGAGGACCGTTCCTTTTCCCAGTCCTTGTCTAGCTATTCGAGCAACCATCCTGTGCACATCTCTGCATGTACACATGCACACATGCACACAAAGCGTGCACACATGCATGCACATTTGCACACATACAAGCATGCTAGTGTGCACAGCAACACATACAATGTGGGCACACATCCACACACACACACACACACACACGAAGTCTATGCACATACCCAATCAATCCATACTCACACGCATACAGGTGTGCACACATCCACACCATGCACACACACGCCTGCATGTCAACCCACATTCAAACACACGCAGAATTGACTATAGCCTGAGGGTTTCACCAGCCTGGCCTCCTGCTTTGGCTGTTGTCATAAATAGGCTCTTTCCTCCCTCCCTCCCCTTGCTCTTGGTCCCACCCCACTCCTGTCCGTGTCCACAGCCCATTCTCCACCCAGTGACCAGAGGGACCTGTTAAAACCCAAGTCAGATCATGACACTTCCCAGCTAAACCCGCCAGCACCCCCATTTCACTGAGGGTCAGAGCCAAAGTCTTGACGATCATGAACGACGTCTCCCACCTCCTGCCGCTCTGGGCCTCAGCTGCTCGGCCTAGACCATGCTGACCTCCTTGCTGTTTCTTGAACACAATAGGTCAGTAGTTCTCACCTGGGGGTGACTGCATCCCTCAGGAGTCATTTGGCAAGATCTAGAGATACTTTTGGATGTCACAACTGGTAGGGGGTGCTGCTGGCATCTAGTGGGTAGAGACTGGGGGTCTGCTAAACATCCCACAATGCACAGGAGAGCCCCCAACAAAGAAGTTTCAGCCCAAAGTATCAACCGCGCTGAGGTTGAGAAACCCAGGTCCAGGCACACTCCTGCCCCAGGACCTTTGCAAACGCCATTCCCTCCACCTAGAAGGCTCTTCTCCCAGGCCGGGCACGGTGGCTTATGCTTGTAATCCTAGTCCTTTGGGAACTGAGGCAGGTGGATCACTTGCGGTCAGGAGTTGGAAACCAGCCTGACCAACATGGTAAAACCCATCTCTACTAAAAATACAAAAATTAGCTGGGTGTGGTAGCAGGCGCCTGTAATCCCAGCTACTCGGGAGGCTGAGGCAGGAGAATTGCTTGAACCTGGAAGGTGGAGGTTGCAGTGAGCCGAGATCATGCCATTGCACTCCAGCCTGCGTGACAGAGCAAGACTCTGTTTCAAAAAAAAAAAAAGACAGCTCTTCTCCCAGACTCTCCTTCCTTATGATCTCGGCTTGAATGCCAAGCCTTCCCTCACCAGACATGCCATCGTGCTCTGTCCCCTTGCTCTGGCTTCCTGTTTGGGCCTCACCTCTATCAGCATGTCACCCCAAGAGAGCAGGGCCCTTGTCTGTTTCCTTCAGCCTATCTCCAATACCTAGAACAGAGCGCGGCTGATAGGTAGCACTCTGTCGATGAAGGGAGTGAATGACAACCAATACGAACACTGCCCAGGGCATATTCCTTCCTTCTCAGGGAGTTTCAGGACTGGCTGAGACTTTTAGCCACACAGACCAAGCCATAGAGTTGGGGGCTGTAGGTGATCATGGTCTCGGACTGATATAGAAGGCACAGAAGTGGGCACAGAAGTGAGCACAGTTGATGGGGCTGAACCTTAGGGCTCCTCTTGGCCAGCCCTCCCGTGGCATCGTCTTGGTCAGCCTGGGAGCAGAGGGGTGTCTCCCCATGATAGGGGAGATTCAGATGCACTGGTCCCCATCTGCAGGAGATACTGGTCTATGCTGTGCAGGTCCCCACCTGCAGGAGGTATAGGTGCACCCTGGGAACCTCCCCGGCAGAGCCCCAGCCCAGCCTAACCCACCCTCCAGTCCCAGGCTGGAAACCTGCACCACCTCTCAGGTGGGAGGCGGCAGGAGCCCCACGCATCTTCTCCCTGAAATCATGAGGCCGGTTACCACGGGTGTCGTTGTGTACCTGTGGAGGCAGGGAGGGCTCTCCTGGGACCAGGTGAAGGTGGCATTGCGTATGGTGATGCAATCCTTCCCGGCAGCTGTGGGACACAAGAGGCCAGTTACAGGTGACCCCTGACCTGGCTGGCCTCTGTGTCGGAGAGGCCCCCAGGCACTACCCCCGCCAGGGGCAGAGGCTGCAGGAAGAAATCTCTCCCATTGAACAAATTTTCCTGCTACTCACTGGCTTGTGTGTGACCCTGCAGGGTCCTTGTTCTCTCCGTGTCCCATGGCTACATAATCCAGGGGGAGGCAAACCGTGGCCCAGAGACCAAATCCTGCCTGCTGCCTATTCTTATGAAAAGTTTTATTGGAACGCAGCCATATCCATTCATTTCTATATTGCATGCTTTGAGCAGTTGTGACAGAGACTGTGTGGCCCCCAAGCCTAAAATATGCACAATCTGGTCATTGATGGAAAAAGTTAGTGGACTTCTGACATAAATTATGGAACCCCAGCCTTCCCAGAGTGAAGGGGGTGTTATCAATTTCACTGTGGCCGGCACAGTATCTCATGCCTGTAATCCCAGCACTTTGGGAAGCAGAGGTTGGGGGGATCACTTGAGGTCAGGAGTTCAAGACCAGCTTGGCCAACATGGTAAAACCCTGTCTCTAGCAAAAAATACAAAAATTAGCCAGGCGTGGTGGTGGGCACCTGTAATCACAGCTACTTGAGAGGCTGAGGCAGGAGAATCACTTGAACCCGGGAGGCGGAGGTTGCAGTGAGCTGAGATCGCGCCACTGCACTCCAGCCTGGATGACAGAGCGAGACTCCGTCTCAAAAAAAAAAAATTATTATGATGATGATGATTTCACTGTGACAACAAGTGTAATTAGATTAGTGGTTCTTGATCCTTAACACATAGTTAGAATCGCCTGAAAGATTTTCTAAAAATCAAAGCTCTCATGGCTTAGCCCAGATCAATTAAATCCATCCTCACAATTAGCTGCTACGATGATTAACATGCCCATTTTGGAGATGGGAACACTGAGGCTCAGAGAGACGATCTACTTGTCAGGATCACCCAGCTAGTCAGTGCTGGGGCTGGAATTTGGACCTGGGCAGTTCAATGCCACAGGCTAGGCTTCTAACCACTGTGTGGGTGTTTTCCAGGTACACAGTTTGCCCAGGTTTTTCAGTACAAGGGGGAGGGTGGCTTGGCCAATGGGGTAACAAAAGGATGGGGTGGAGGGGGAAGCCCGGGTAACTTGAGCTTGGTGAGTCTCATCGTGCAATGGTACTTGAAATGTTGCTATTTTCTTTTTTTTTTGTTTTGTTTTTGAGACGGAGTCTCGCGCTGTGTCGCCCAGGCTGGAGTGCAGTGGCGCGATCTCGGCTCACTGCAAGCTCCGCCTCCCGGGTTTACGCCATTCTCCTGCCTCAGCCTCCGAGTAGCTGGGACTACAGGCACCCGCCACCACGCCCGGCTAGTTTTTTGTATTTTTAGTAGAGACGGGGTTTCACCATGTTAGCCAGGATGGTCTCGATCTCCTGACCTCGTGATCCACCCGCCTCGGCCTCCCAAAGTGCTGGGATTACAGGCTTGAGCCACCGCGCCCGGCCGAAATGTTGCTATTTTCTAGCTTGATCAGAATGTTGCTGTGCTTATCACCTTGGACTTTCTACATGAGGACACGGACCTGGTCTGTTACAGCAGGAGTCCCCAACCCCCAGCCACAGACTGGTACCAGTCTGTGGCCTCTTAGGAACTGGACCATACAGCAGGAGGTGAGTGCAGGGCAGGTGAGCAGAGTATCATCTGTGTTTACAGCCACGCCCCATCACTCCCATCACCGCTTGAGCTCCGCCTCCTGCCAAATCAGCAGCCGCAATAGCTTCTCATAGGAGCATGAACACTTGCGAACTGTGCATGCGAGGAATCTGGGTTGCGTGTTCCTTATGAGAATCTAATGCCTGATGATCTCTCGCAGTCTCCCATCACCTCCAGATGGGGCCATCTGGTTGCAGGAAAACAAGCTCAGGGCTCCCACTGATTCTACATTATGGTGAGTTATATAATTATTTCATTTTATATTATAATGTAATAATAATGAAGTGCACAATTGGAATGTGTTTGAATCATCCCCAAACCACGCGCCTCACCCTGGTCCATGGAAAAACTGTCTTCCACAAAACCAGTCCCTGGTGCCAAAAAGCTTGGGGACCACTGTGTTAGAGTGTTCCCTGTTGTACACCCAGGATGGCACGAAGTGGGTGCTCGATGAGTGGTCGCTGAACGGCTAGCAGAAAGAACAGAAGCACGGTGCCCGTTTCCAAGTGACACGCAGATGGCGTGATCTGCACGTGCCATCCATCGCGTGCAGCCCCCATCTCCCCCCAGGCTGATGCTGGCTTGCCATTATGGGCAGGGGCAGCCCCCACGTCCCCCATCCCTCCCACACCCCTCCTGCCAGACCCAGCACTCACAGCTTCCAGAGGAACTTGAGTCCACGGCACCAGGGTCAACTTCTTCCAGGCAGAGGAAGGTGACCAGGCGGTCAAAGGACACCCGGGCCTAGGAAAACCGAAGCCCCAGGTCAACCAGCAAGAAGAGCAAAGAACTCGGACTTTGGGTGTCGGTGTCTCAAGATGTGTGGCAACAGTTTCCTGTCTACCAAGCTCTCTGCACATAAGCTCTGTGCACAGGAGGTGTGAGGACAAAGTTTTCTAGTTCATGGGAAACGATGCAACCCCAGTGGTGACCTTGATGGTGGCGATCTCCCACCTCCTCGCTCCTACTAATCAGTGACACTGGATCAAGCCAGCTGCCATTCTGCAGACAAGATCTGGGAAAAGGATGGTGGCTTTTCCAATAAGATGTATCGTCATTATGTGGAACAATTTCAAATGTTGTCCACCTGGGGGCGCTCTCTCAGTCACAAACCCATCTTTGGGGAAGAAAGAGACCAGTCGTTAAAACAGAGATTCGGTCAGGTGCAGGGGCTCGTGCCTGTAATCCCAGCACTTTGGGAGGCCAAGTGCAGGAGGATCACTTGAGGCCAGGAGTTCAAGACCTGGGGAACATAGCAAGACTCGTCTCTACAAAAAATTAAAAAATGAGCTGTATGTGGTGGCCCATGCCTGTAGTCCCAGCTACTCAGGAGGCTGGGAGGTGGAAGGATCACATGAGTCTAGCAGTTTGAGAATGCAGTGAGCTGAGATCGCGCCACTGTACTCCAGCCTGGGTGACAGAGTCAGGTGCCCCTGTCTCAACAAACAAACAAACAAATAAACAAATAAATAAGGCTGGGCACAGTGGCTCATTGTAATCACGGCACTTTGGGAGGCCAAGGTGGGCAGATCACCTGAGGTCAGCAGTTCAAGACCAGCCTGGCCAACATAGTGAAAACTCATCTCTACTAAAAATACAAAAAAATAAATTAGCTTGGCATGGTGGCATGCACCTATAGTCCCAGCTACTTGGTTGACTGAGGCAGGAGAATCACTTGAACCTGGGAGGTGGAGGTTGCAGTGAGCCGAGATCATGCCACTGCACTCCAGCCTGGGTGATAGAGTGAAACTCCATCCTAAATAAATAAATAAATATTTATTTATTTATTTACCTCTGTTCTTGCCCCTACTTGCCTCTTTTCCAGCTCCACACCCTCCGTCTCCCTCCCACTCTGTCTTCCCTCTCCTCTGCAAATGGCAGGCGTAAGGAAGCTGGAGCCAGGTGTAGTCCACACACTCTTCCAGGATGGCTCCAGCCCTTGCACCCATCTCACCTGGACGAGGGAGTGGATGGAGAAGGGCAGGAACGCCTGGGCCTTGTTGAGGATGTTGAGAACCGTGAGAGTCACAAAGGCTTTCTCTGCATCCATAGCATTCTCGGCCACCAGAGTGTGGACAGCAAACACCACCAGTGCGACCTGGGGGGTCGGGGCAGGGGGCGGAACACATGGGGCCACAGTGAGACATGCAAGCATGGATACGGCAGCCCAGGCAAGCTGTGGTGCCTGCAGCGTCCATGTGGCCCACCTGCCATGTCCGCCATGTGCTTCCCTCCATAGATCCCACTCCCAGTGCTGCTAACACATGTCCTCTCCTCAGTCATAAGCTACGCAAGGTCTTTCCAAAGACACAGTGCATTGCTAAAGGCGATGAGTGTGCAGCCCCGTGGCTCTAGGCATCACTAGAGCCTAGGGGAGAACCTAATGCCTCTAGGTTCCAAGCATTGGGGGACAGCAGAGATTCTGATCTTGGCAGCACTGTTGTTATTCTAGACATGGTGGAACTTGTGATTCTAGAGTCCCTCGGAAGATGACTCTACAATTGCAGCAGGAGCAGCACTTGAGGGCTCTAGTGTGGGTGCCATTTGTGGCCTTTTTTTTTTTTTTTTTTGAGGTGAAGTGTTGTTCTGTGGCCCAGGCTGAAGTGCAGTGGCATGATCTTGGCTCACTGCAACCTCTGCCTCCCGAGTTCAAGTGATTCTCCTGCCTCAGCCTCCCAGGTAGCTGGGATTACAGGCGCCCACCACCACAACCGGCTAATTTTTGTATTTTTAGTAGAGACAGGGTTTCGCCATGTTGGCCAGGCTGGTCTCGAACTCCTGACCTCTGGTGATCCGCCCACCTCGGCCTCCCAAAGTATTGGGATGACAGGCATGAGCCACCGTGCCTAGCCTATGTATCAACATTTTTAAAGTTGTGGTTTAGGAAGGTTGTTCTGACAGCAATTTGAAATAAATGACAGAATGGCAGGACAAGGATCACGTCCAGTGACAGGGTGGCTATGGACATCTGCTGGCCAGCATCAGGGAAGACACTCAGACCCAGGATTCTAACTCTGCCGCCCCTCCTGCACCCTCTTCCCCACATCGGTAGAAGCCTGGAATTCTCTCTGAGAGTTCAGCAGACTTTATCAGCCACTGCCACCTTTGCTAGAATAATGTGATTAATTCGTTCTTGCAGAAGACAGCAGGGACCCTGAGAGAACAGGATCCAGAATGAGTGGGTTTTGACGGTCAGGGTGGTAGGATCTGGGGAGCTCAACCTACCTCACCCTGCCCCACCCCCGCAGTCCTTCCCCAGTGCTGCTCGGCATAGAGACTAGAGTGACGTCACCAGAAATGTAGACACTTGGAAGGACACCAGCGACACAGAGAAGAGGAGGCCGGAGGTCCGCAAGGCGCCCAGCTCCTGGCCTCGGATGCCCAGGACTCTGTCCAGAAAGGCTCCCTCCCAGCCATGGAACTTGATGGTCTTCGAGTTCCTGAGGATGGAGCTGGTGAGCCGTGCCCGCAAGTCCTTCTGCCTCATTTGCTCTTCCTGGGATCAGAGGGAAAAAGAGAGATGAAGACAGGGACAGATGAGAATTCTTCCCTGCACCCTGACAGCCACCCTTCAGCAAATCCCATTCACCTTGCCAAGCTGCGTCCCAAACCTGTCTGCTTCTCAGCGTCTCAGTCCCTCAGTCCTGGTCCAACCACCATCATCCTGTACCTGGACTTCTGCAGGATCTGCCCCCGGGACAATGCGCCCCATGGAGGAAGCCTCTGATGCCCGGAGAACAGAGGCAGCCTGAGCCCACCTGGGTATGGTACTGTCAGGAAGGCTACCTGGAGGTGCTTGATGCCCAAGTTACGTCTGTTTTTTTAACCTTTTACATTTTTTGTGGAGTTGGGGTCTCGCTATGTTGTCCAGGCTGGCCTCGATCTCCTGGGCTCAAGTGATCCTCTGCCCTCAGCCTCCTAAAATGCTGGGATTACAGCCTGAGCTACATCTTACATGACCAGGAGGTGAGTGCTGAGCAGGCAGAGGATGCGGGGATGGAGCTAAAGAGGGAGGGGAGGGGTTTGAGAAAGGGGGGCAGCAAAAACCCAAGCACAGGGAATAGCATGACTCAGAGGACACTCAGTGTGGCCAGAGGAGCACGTGAGCAGGGTCACTTGGCGCTTTGCGGTCAGGCAGAGGAATTCGGGGTCTCCTGTGCTTCACCATGGGGCAGGGGGCAGGGGTATCATCAGAGGGGCAGCTGCCTGGAGAAGGTTTTTCTTTTTGAGACGGAGTCTCGCTCTGTGGCCCAGGCTGGAGAGAAGTGGTGTGATCTCGGCTCACTGTAACCTCCGCCTCCTGGGTTCAAGCGATTCTCCTGCCTGAGCCTCCTGAGTAGCTGGGATTATAGGTGCACGTCGCCACACCTGGCTAATTTTTGTATTTTTTAGTGGAGACAGGGTTATGCCATGTTGGCCAGGCTGGTTTTGAACTCCTGACCTCAGGTGATCTGCCCGCCTCAGCCTCCCAAAGTGTTGGGATTACAGGTGTGAGCCACCGCGCCCGGCCTAGAGTGTTTCAGAGGAGGCCACGCAGGAAGATGGAGAAACAGCCCAGGTGACAGACAGACGTTGGGACAGCTGGGCCGAGACAGGAAATAAGTTCCTTCCCTCCATCCCCCATCCCTCCCTCTCTCTTTCCCGCCTTTCTTTCCTTTCTTCCGTATCTCCTTTCTTCTTCTGTTGTTCCCTTTCTTCCTTCTCTCTTTCCTTTTCTTTCCTTCCCTCTCTCCCCGTTTCTTCCTTCTCTCCCTCATTCCTTCTCTTCCTCCCTCAATTCTTTCCTTCCCTCCTTCCCTCTGTCCTTCCTCCCCTTTCCTATCTTTCCTTCCTTCCCTCCTTTTCTCTCCTTCCCCTCCCTCCTTCCTCCCCTCCTTTCCTTCTTCCCTTCCTCTCTCCTCCCCTTCTTCCCTCCTTCCTTTCTTCCATAGTTCACAAACACAGTAAGTATTGAGAACCTTCTGCCTGCCAAGCACTAACTAGATGCTGACTCTGCCACAGAGGGTGGCCTGTGCTGTTGCAAAGCTTCGAGTCTAAGGAGAACAAGGTAATCAGCCCCTGCCAGGTGCTTCCTGCGGGGCCCTGTAGGATGTGGGAAGTGCTGTGCCGGGGAAAAAAAGCAAAAATGAAGCCAGGGCAGGCACAGGAGAGGCTGCTGCTAGGAGGAGAGGGATGAACGTGCTGTTTCCTGGCCGGAGGGTGGCGAGGGAGTTGACGGAGGGTCTTCGGGAGGGAGGGTGATCCAGGCAGAGGGAACAGCTAAAGCGAAGGCCTGGAGGGATGTGTGAAATCGGGCAGGTTTGAGGATGGGGAATGTGGGGGAGAAGGCAGGGAAGGGAGGGAGAAGGGTGGAAGGTGAAGTTGGAAGCCATGAGGCCAGTTCAGGGTGGGCCTGCTGGGCCACTGTGGGTTTTTGGCTCAGTGTGAGGAAAATGGGGCCGCTGTGGGTCTGAGTAGAGGAGGGGTGCGACGTATTCGGTTTGCACAGGTCTGCTCTGGCTGGGAGTGGAGAGAGGCTGAGGGCAGAAGCGGGGAGTGAGCCAGGGGCTTGCTGCTATGACCTGGGTTAGAGACCATGGGGTTTGCAGAGCCTGCGCTGGGAAGGGTGACATTCTGGATGCATTTTGAAGGTGATGCCAAGCAAATCTGATGACAGATGGGAGGTGAGAGAAAAAGGCATTGAACTGACCCAGGGCCCGTGGCCTGAACACTAGAGGGACGGAGCCACTGTCCATTGAGATGGTGACGGGAGGGGTGCAGGTCTGCGTGATAGGCAGCTCATAGACAACAAGAACAAAGCCGGACACGTGGGCTCGCACTCAACTTTCCCCTCCCCATCTCCCACACCAGGACCTGTGGCGTCCTCCCTACTTCCTGGTCCGTCCCTTTCCCCAAAGCCGAACCTGATGGTGGTTCCTCTTCTTGGTGATGAAGAAATTCAGAGGGAGGAGGCTCAGGAAGACGGCGATGGCAGTGAGGGCAGAGGGGCCCAGGAGCTGGGGACAGAGGGGGCAGGATGTCAGGAGATCCCAAGGAGCACAGCTCTCAGAGGCATGTGAACCAGAGCACCTCCATCTTGAATAGGGGCTGGGTAAAATGAGGCTGAGATCTACTGGGCTGCATGCCCAGACGGTTAAGGCATTCTAAGTCACAGGATGAGACAGGAGGTCGGCACAAGACACAGGTCACAAAGACCTTCCTGATAAAACAGGTTGCAGTAAAGAAGCCGGCCAAATCCCACCAAAAGCAAGATGGCAACGAGGGAGACCTCTGGTTGTCCTCACTGCTGCACTCCCACCAGTGCCATGACAGTTTACCAATGCCATGGCAACATCAGCAAGTTACCCTATATGGTCTAAAAAGGAAAGGCATGAACAATCCACCCCTTGTTGAGCATATCATCAAGAAATAACCATAAAAATGGGCAACCAGCAGCCCTCGGGGCTGCTCTGTCTGTGGAGTAGCCATTCTTTTAAATCTTTACTTCCCTGAAGAACTTGCTTTTGGCCAGGTGTGGTGGCTCACGCCTGTAATCCAGCACTTTGGGAGGCCGAGGCGGGCAGATCACCTGAGGTCAGGAGTTCAAGACCAGCCTGGCCAACATGGTAAAACCCCGTCTGTACTAAAAATATAAAAATTATCTGGGTGTGGTGGGCTCCTGTGATCCCAACTACTCAAGAGGCTGAGGCAGGAGAATCGCTTGAACCCGGGAGGCGGAGGTTGCAATGAGCCATAATCGTGCCACTGCACTCCAGCCTGTGTGCCAGAATGAGACTCCATCTCAAAAAAAAAAAAAAAAAGAAAAAGAAAAGAGAAAAAACAAAACAACTCGTCTTCACTTTATGGACTCGCCCTGAATTCTTTCTTGCGTAAGATCCAAGAACCCTGTCATTGCATCTGGATCAGGACCCCTTTCCTGTAACACAACTGCAGATCCCGAAGGTGGTCAGACTTGGGTCTTAAGATGGGGATGTCAGGGAATCTGATAAGGGCAGCCACCAGGTCCCAGGGATCTGGGCTCATGGGGGTCTGCTGTGACAGGAGATGCCTGCTGAAGGTGGGGTCCTTCAATGTCAGGGAGGGGAATGGCCCTCTTACATGACGGGGAGAGGGTTATATTCAAGACAGATCGTGCACACACACGAGTGGGACTGGGGGGTGTTCCCAGCCACAACGGTGAAGTTGAGACCTATGGAATCAGGACCTGGTTCAAATTCTGACCCTGACACTTGTGAGTGTGGCCTTGGGGCAAGTCACCTCCTTAAGGTGTAATTCCCTTGTCTGCAAAATGGAAATAGAGTTGTTCTCATTTGGCATTTTATCTTATTACGTTTAATTATTTTCCTAATCTTCATTTCACCCCTCATGAGGGTTGTCAGATTTAGCGAATCATCATACAGGACTCCCAGTTACATTTGAAGATAAAGAGTGAAGAAGGTTTTAGTCTAAGTCTCGTGCAATATTTGGGACATACACTGAGAAGTTCTCCCGTTTGTCTGAAACTCATACTTCACTGGATGTCCTGTGTTCTCCCTGGCAACGCTGCTCCCCAACCAACGTGGTGATTTTGGGATGGTTACCTTCCCCCTCTCAGCTTTGGTTCCTGTATGGGGAAAATGTGGAAGTGGGGCTAGAATAAGTGATTTTTAAGTTGCTGTGACTTTCCGAGATTCCTTCACAGGTTATTTGGATCCATTCTCTTGACGAACCCCACCCCAACTCCAGTCTGTGTGCCTCAGTTTCCCCTCTGAGTCCTTAGGAACACTATTTACTTTTTTTTTTTTTTTTTGAGATGGAGTCTCATTCTGTGACCCGGGCTGGAGTGCAGTGTCGTGATCTTGGCTCACTGCAACCTCTGCTTCCCAAGCGATTCTCCTGTCTCAGCCTCCTGAGTAGCTGGGATTACAGGCGGATGTCACTCTGCCTGGCTAATTTTTGTATTTTTAGTAGAGATGGGGTTTCACCATGTTGCCCAGGCTGGTCTCGAACTCCTGACCTCAAGTGATCCACCTGCCTCAGCCTCCTGAAGTGCTGGGATTACAGGTTTGAGCCACCCTGCCTGGCCTGGAACACTATTTTCTAACCTTGGGCCAGTTTGTTTTGTTTATGCAGCAATGGCGCTACCTAGTGGCTCAGTGGAGAAGTGCCCAGAGGGTAAACAGCAGCCCACAGCAGGGGTTGGAAAAACACTCAAAGGAATGTGAGCGAAAGATGAACATCTCTGTCTGGGGGAAAAATGGTATCATTAAACTGTAGCAACCGCAATGTCCACTCCTCCTTCACCGAGATCTCACGGTGATGTTAGGAACTGTCTACCAAGAGGCAGGAAAAGTAATATGCAAAGTAACATGCAAAGTAACATGGTTGCATTACCTATGGATGTCTTGTTGGTCTCATCTAATTTTTTTTTTTTTTTTTATGGAGTCTCGCTTGATTGCCCAGGCTGTAGTGCAGTGGTGTGATCTTGGCCCACTGCAACCTCTGCCTCCCAGGTTCAAGTGATTCTCCTGCCTCAGCCTCCCTAGTAGCTGGGATTACAGGCACACGCCACCACGCCCGGCTAATTTTTGTATTTTCAGTAGAGATGGGGTTTTGCCATGTTGGCCAGGCTGGTCTTGAACTCCTGACCTCAAGTGATCTGCCGGCCTTGACCTCCCAAATTGCTGGGATTACAGGCGTGAGCCACCGCGCCCCAGCTGGTCTCGTCTGATTTTTAGCAGCGGTGGGGTCAACCTGATCAATTGCCCTGAATTTTCCCATGCTCTTCCTCTCTCCCTCTCTTTCTTCCTAATGATGACATTTATGTACTGCTCATCAAGCACTGAGTGCCTTATGTTGTAATTGCTAAGCACCTACCTATTGTTTGCAAGGCCCTGGAATACAAGGTGAAGGCATTGGGAAAGGTCCTGGCCCCTCGTCCTAGCAAAAACAACCATATGCATGAGCATTCGATTTTTTTTGGAGTATTCAACAATTATGATCAAAATGCCATTAACAGTTTTTACAAGGCCAGGCACGGTGGCTCATGCCTGTAATCCCAGCACTTTGGGAGGCTGAGGTGAGCAGATCACCTGAGGTCAGGAGTTTGAGACCAGCCTGGCCAATGTGGTGAAACCTGGTCTCTCCTAAAAATACAAAAATTAGCCAGATGTAGTGGCGCACGCCTGTAATCCCAGCTACTCAGGAGGCTGAGGCTGGAGAATCGCTTGAACCTGGGAGGTGGAGGTTGCAGTGAGCCGAGACTGCCCCACTGCATTCCAGCCTAGGCGACACAGTGAGACTCTGTCTCAAAACAAAACAAAACATCTTTTACAATTTTTAGAAAGAGGGTCTTGCTCTGTCTCAGAGCTCAAATTCAGTGGCATGATCATAGCTCACTGTAACCTTGAATTCCTGGGCTCAAGTGATCCTCTTGCCTCAGCCTCCTAAGTAGCTATGACTATAGGTGTGCACCACCACCGTGTCCAGTTAATTAAAAACAATTTTTTAGGAGATTGAGACCATCCTGGCTAACACAGTGAAATCTTGTGTCTACTAAAAATACAAAAAATATTAGCCGGACGTGGTGGGCTGAGGCAGAAGAATGGCGTGAACCTGGGAGGCGGAGCTTGCACTGAGCTGAGACTGCGCCACTGCACTCCAGCCTGGGCTACAGAGCAAGACTCCATCTAAAAAAAAAAAAAGAAGAAGAAAAAGAAAAAAATTTTTTTTGTAGAGACAGGATTTCTCTGGTTGGTATGTTGCCCAGGTTAGTCTTAAACTCCTGGCCTCAAGCAATCCTCCCACCTCAGGCTTGATAGCCATTATACGTTAAACATACCTAGCCAGGATTCAGGCATGGTGGCTAACACCTATAATCCCAGCACTTTGGGAAGCTGAGGCATGCAGATCACTTGAGGCCAGGAGTTCAAGACCAGCCTGGCCAAAATGACAAAACCCCATCTCTACTGAAAATACAAAAATTAGCTGGGTGTGATGGTGCACACCTGTGATCCTAGCTGCTAGGGAGGCTGAGGCATGAGAATTGCTTAACCTTGGGAGGCAGAGGTTGCAATGAGCCGAAATTGCACCACTGCAGTCAAGTCTGGGCAACAGAGTGAGACTCCACCTCAACAAAACAAACAAACGAACAAACAAAAACCTAACCAGGGCTCTGTAAACCATGGCATATAGTATCTATATGGGAGACATATGGATCCCTTCACCTGTTTTCATAGAGCCTATGAGCTGTACAAAAATGTTTAATAGTTTTAATATTTTTAAATAGTTGAAAAAAATCAGGCCGGGCATGGTGGCTCATGCCTATAATCCCAGCACTTTGAGAGGCTGAGGTGGGTAGATCACTTGGGGTCAGGAGTTCGAGACCAGCCTGGCCAAAATGGCGAAACCCCATCCCTACTGAAACTACACAAATTAGCCAGGTGTGGTGGCAAACACCTGTAATCCCAGCTACTTGGTAGGCTCAGGCAGGAGAATCACTTGAACCCGGGAGGCAGAGGTTGCAGTGAGCCGAAGTTGCACCATTTCACTAAAGCCTGGGCCACACAGTGAGACTCTGTCTCAAAAAAAAAAAAAAAAATCAGAAGGATACTATTTCATGACATATGAAAATGATATGCAGTTCAAATGTCAGCATCCATAAATAGAGTTTTACTGGAGGAATACCTTGCCTGTTTGCTTAGTATGGTCTACGGCCACTTCTGCACTCCACGGGCAGAGGTGAATATTTGCAGGAGAGACGGTATGGTCCCCAATGTAAAAAATATCTACTGTCTTGCTCTTTATGGAAAAGTAACTAATGATAATATTACAAATACCTACAGGGTGCAGCTGTGTGTCCGGCGCTGTTCTACGTGCTTTCTATGTATGGCTCTTTAACGCCTCAGCACCTCTGGGGCAGGGGTGCTCCTGTTAATTATGATCCTCACGTTGGAGACAAGAACAGGAGGCAGAGAGAGAGTAGGTTCCTTGCACAGGGATTCGTAAGTGGTCAGAAGCAGGATTTGAGCCTAGGCAGTTCCCGATACAGAGTCTATTTTTATTTTTATTTTTATTATTTATTTTTGGGAGACAGAGTCTCACACTGTCACCCAGGCTGGAGTGCAGTGGCATGATCTCGACTCACTGCAACCACCACCTCCAAGGCTCAAGCGATTCTCCTGCCTCAGCCTCCTGAGTGGCTGGGATTATAGGCACCCGTCACTATGCCCAGCTAATTTTTGTATCCTTTAGTAGAGATGGGGTTTCACCATGTTGGCCAGGCTGGTCTCAAACTCCTGACCTCAAGTGATCCACCCACCTGGGCCCCCTAAAGTGCTGAAATTACAGGCACGAGCCACCGCGCCTAGCCCAGAGTCTGATTTTAATTTAGAAAAAGAAAACGCTATACCACAAAGTTAAAGGAATGAAGTTGGAAAGCAAATGTTTTGTTTGTTTGTTTGGTTGTGTCCTGATGGCTACTTTGTGTCTTTTGAACACGAAATAGCAATTTTTTCCCCCTAAAATGTTCTCGTCTTGTGTTTTGTGGATGGTGGTTGTAGTGGTGCCCCAGGGTTACTGGTAACTTCAAAAAATGGTTAAGTCGCCTACTGGGTACCCTAATAGCACATGGGGAAGTGTCAATGTCATCATCATCATCGCCATCATTCTACAGAGGAAACTGAGGCCCAGAGAGGGTGAGCTTCCTGCCCAAGGTCAAGTGAAGGTCATCCTTATTGAAGACTTTTCCCATTATATCAGCCTATAGTAGGCAAATGGAGACAGGATTAGAGGAGGAGGAGAAGGAGGAGATGGGGGTGGAAGGGGAGGAGAAAAAGGAGGAGAGGAAGAGGAAGAAAGGGACTAGAAGGAGAGGGAGGAGGAGAGGGAAGAGGGGAGGGAGGAGGGTAGAAGAGAAGAGGGGAGAAGGGAAGAAGTGGGAGGGAAGATGATAGGGAGCAGATAGGGAGAAGAAGGTGGAGCAGGAGACAGGAAGAGGAAGAGGAGGAGGAAGGAGGGAAAGGAAGAGGTGCAGGAAGAGGAAGAGGGTACGTGGGCAGAAGGTGGGGGGATGCAGGAAGCGGGAGGGTGAGGGAAGGGGTGCAGGAGGAGGCCGGGGCAGGGGGAGTGGGGAGGAAGGCTTGTAAGATTCTACACCAGGAATGGAATCCAGGGTGATGAAGGCAGGACAAGGGTGAGATCTTTCATGTGCCTCTCTCACACCAACCTGGTTCTCCCACAGCCTCAAACTTGCCCTAATCCTGGGGTCACAGCGGACCTCTTCCAGCCTCTTGAATGCTAAGTGAGAAGGAGGAAGGGCGGGAGTGGGGAGGAGGAGGGGGAGAAAGAGGGGTGGGGGACTCCGTTCAAATCCCGTCTTCCTCCCCTCGTGCACCTGCCAGAGATAGACGAAGCAGACCACGATCCAGACAAGAGGCAGCCACAGCCCGTTGAGGTAGAGGATGCTCTCAGTCAGCCGCTGCACATCCACGGACACCAGGTTGACCACATCACCCACCGCACTGGCCTTTCTGGAGCCACTGGACAGAGCCAGGACCTGGTGGGTGGGCGGAAGGAGAGAAGTATAGAGGGGAGTCTGGGGCAGAGGGACATCCCCAGGTGGCTTCTCCGCCCACTGAGCCCCACTTCACGCGTCTGTGAGGTGGGTGAGTAAAGTCTCTTAGGCCAACCTCTCAGGGCTGTTTGAGGATCCACAGAGACGACAAAAATGAAAATCCTCCAGTATCCCTAAAGCACGGGAGACGTAATAATGAATAACATGCACGAAAACACCAGATGAACATGGATAATGGTGGTCATCTGCCCAGTGCTCACCATGTCCCAGGCACTGTGCTAAATGAACAGCCTCATCATGTCTGGGGCGCTCACAGCCGTGAATGGTACCAAGCAGGCACTACCATATTCATTCCATCTAATGCCAGGCCAGGCACAGTGGCCCCTGCTTGTAATCCCACCACTCTGGGAGGCTGAGGTGGGAGGATTGCTTGATCCTAGGAGTTCGAGACCAGCCTGGGTGACATAGCAAGACTCAATCTCTACAAAAACACTTAAAAATTAGCCAGGGGGTTGGGTGCAATGCCTCACGCGTGTCATCCCAGCACCTTGAGAGGCCGAGGCAGGCAGATCACCTGAGGTCAGGAGCTTGAGACCAGCCTGGCCAACGTGGTGAAACTCTGTCTCTACTGAAAATACAAAAATTAGCCGGGCATGGTGGGAGGCACCTGTAATCCCAGTTACTTGGGAGGCTGAGGTAGGAGAATTGCTTGAACCCAGGAGGCGGAGGTGGCAGAGAGCCAAGATCAAGCCATTGCACTCCAGTCTGGGCGACAAGAGCAAAACTCCGTCTTGGGGAAAAAAAAAGAAAAATTACCCAGGCATGGTTGTGGTGTGCCTGTGGTCCCAGCCAGCTACTGGGGAGGCTGAGGTGGGAGGATCACTTGAGTCTAGGAGGTTGAGGCTACAGTGAGCCATGTTGGTGCCACTGCACTCTAGCGTGGGCAACAGAGCAAGACCCTGTCTTTAAAGAAAATGCTGTGGATAAAATGCTCTCTATCATTCTCTCACCAAGGAAAATACCATTTCCAGTTAAATTAAGACATGTAAGAGACACCTCAATTTTGGAAGTATTAGAGTGAAAAAAAAATGTGAGACTAGAATCAATGAAATGAACACTTACTAATCCCATTCTATGCTAAAGAAACTGAAGCACAGAGAACTTGAGCAACTTTCCCAAAGTCACAGGCCTTGTAAGCTCCTACGCAAGGAATGGAACCCAGGGTGACGAAGGCATGACAAGGGTGAGACTTTTCATGTGCTTCTCTGACACCAACCTGGTTCTCCGGCAGCCTCACATCTGCCTTAACCCTGGGGTCACAGAGGACCTCTTCCAGCCTGTTGAATGCTAAATTCCACATGTAGTCCTCTCTTTGTGACTGTGTGAGGGAGTGAAGAAGTGATCCAGGAATGACTGGGCATAGAAATTCTCCACTTAACAAATCTTCGAAGAGTGCCCACTGTGTGACTCACACTGAGCTGGGAACTGAAAATACAGCTGTGAACAACAGAGACCAGGCTTGCTCTCCCGGGACTGGAGTTTGAGGTGGGGAACAAGGCTCTATAATAAAGATTTATATTACTGGCCGGGATGGTGGCTCACACCTATAATCCCAGCACTTTGGGAGGCCGAGGAGGATGGATTGCTTGAGGCCGGGAGTTCAAGATCAGCCTGGCCAATATGGCGAAACCTCGTCTCTAGTAAAAATACAGAAATTGTGTATACAAAAATACAGGTGCTGTTGGGCACCTGTAATCCCAGCTACTCGGGAGGCTGAGGCAGGACCGCTTGAATCTAGGAGGTGGAAGTTGCAGTGAGCCGAGATCGCACCACTGCACTCCAGCCTGGGTGACAGAGTGAGACTCTGTCTCAAAAAATAAGACAAAACAAAAAGATTTCTATCACTCATGCTTTAATGGCAGTTATGATGAGTACCATAAAAAAAGCAGCCAAGGCTGGGCACGGTGGCTCACGCCTGTAATCCCAGCACTTTGGGAAGCCGAGGTGGGTGAATCACCTAAGGTCAGGAGTTTGAGACCAGCCTGGCCAACATGGTGAAACCCCGTCTCTACTAAAAATACAAAATTAGTGGGACATGGTGGCACACACCTGTAATCCCAGTTATTCGGGAGGCTGAGACAGAAGAATTGGTTGAACCCAGGGGATGGAGACTGCAGTGAGCTCAGACTGTGCCATTGCACTCCAGCCTGGGCGATGACAGCAAAACTCTGTCAAAAAAAAAAAAAAAAAAAAAAAAGAAAAAAAAAAGCCCAGAGGTTAGAGAGGAGGGATCTGATCTCATTGAGAGATCAAAGAAGGCCTCCCAGCAGGCAGATGGGAAAAAGGAAGATCAACGCCTGCTCGCCTGCCCGCCTGCTCGCCTGCCCGCCTGCCCGCCTGCCCACCTGCCCGCCTGCCCGCCTGCCCGCCTGCCCGCCTGCTCGCCTGCTCGCCTGCCCGCCTGCTCGCCTGCTCAGGCGGCCTTTCTCTTAGATTCAAGGAAATGTGGACTCTCAAGGCAGGATAGGACACACCCAGCACTGGCATGCTCAGGGGAACATGAGCCTGGGACATAGCACTCTGGCAGGACAGCATCAAGAGCTGCCCTCTCGGCCATCCAGGAGCTGTTCCCTCTGTCCCCTCCTCCCCTAGGTGACAGCTCAGGTGTCGGGGAGCGAGACTTACATGGGATGGGACCTGCCCTGGCTCAGATGCTCCATACCCCACAAGAGCCAATAGCTCTTGCAGCAGCAGTTTAGGGACTTAGCTTCTTAGTCCCCTGAAGGGACAAGAGCCACTGCACCGAGAGAAGTCGAAAGCTGTGGCCTCCAATCAGGTATTCACAGTCAATGGACAGAACTTCCAGCCCAGATGCAATTTTTTTTTTCAGATGGGTTCTTGCTCTGTTACCCAGGCTGCAGTGCAGTAGCACGACCTCAGCTCACTGCAACCTCCACCTCCCGGGTTCAAGGGATTCTCCTTTCTCAGCTTCCTGAGTAGCTGGGATTACAGGCATGTGCCACCATGCCTAGATAATTTTTGTATTTTTAGTAGAGACGGGGTTTTGCCATGTTGGTCAGGCTGGTCTTGAACTCCTGACCTTAAGTGATCCGCCTGCCTCAGCCTCCCAAATTGCTGGGATTACAGGTGTGCACCACTGCGCCCAGCCTAGGGGTCATTTTTACTACAAGCAGTATTATCTGGGAACATAGTTGACAGGCCACCTTATCAGAAGGTTAAGCCTTTATCCTCAAGGGGGAATGAGTGGAAGTTAAAATTAGGCTCAAAAATTAAAATTAGATTAGGGAGAGTGGAAATGGTGTCTAGACAGTGAGAACTACAAAGGCCCCAAGGTGGGTGGGTGCCTGGAATATCTGAGGAACTGAAAAGAGACCTGTGTGACTGGAGGAGAGTGAGCATGGGAGGAGGCGGGTGTGTGTGTGACGGGATGAGGTCAGAGAGTTACCTCTCAGATCACACGACACCTTACAGAAATAACTAAGGAGGTGAGGCAAACCACTTGAGGCCAGGAGTTTGAAACAAGCCTGACCAACATGGCAAAACCTTTTATCTACTAAAAATACAAAAATGAGCCAGGCGTGGTGACATGTGTCTGTAGTCCCAGCTACTCAGGAGGCTGAGGCAGGAGAATCGCATGAACCCGGCAGGCGGAGGTTACGGTGAGCTGAGATTGCACCACTGTACTCTGGGCTGGGCGACAGAGTGAGACTCTGTCTCAAAAAAATAAATATATATAAACAAAGAGAAATAACTAAGGAAGTGAGAATGTATCCTGAGTGACTCTAATAAGTAAGGACTGAATGCATTCTCAGCTGCTGGTAACATTATCATCAGCTCAGTGATGTTGCTTTTCCTGGTCTGGGAGGACTGCACTTGTCCCCCAGGGCTCACCTTTCTGTACACCAGGCCAGTGATGGCCGACCGCAGCCTCATCTGCAGCACCTTGAGCCTGTACATGTTCTGCTGCTCAAACAGCGTTTGCAGGCAGGCCGAGAGGAACATCAGCACGGCGAGGAGGTAGCCCTTCCAGGCTGGAGGCTTGGGATCACCAATGAACTCCAGGAAAAGGCTTGCAGGGGAAGGAGGGAGAAGGTACAGCTGGTGAGAGGAGGTGCCCATGGGTGTGGCCTTTGCCCAGACCAGGCCAGGTGTGGAGGATTAGTCAGTGTGGTTGACTTTTTTGCAATAATGGTCTCCGTTATTTCCCCCACTGTCCATAATACTCCTTTTCATTCTGACTGCAGCTCCTCAAGATCAAGAGGTGGAGTTTTTGTCCCCACTTGTTATGGGCTAAATTGTGTCCTCACAAAATTTATATGTGGAAGCCCCTACCCCCAGTACCTCTGAATGTGACTGTATTTGGAAATAGGGCCATGAAAGAGGCAATGAAGTTAAAATGAGGTCATTAGGCTGGGCCCTAATCCAACCTGACTGGGTCCTTATAAGAAGAGAAAAGGTAGACACACAAGGAGACACCAGGGGGCACACACAGAGGAAAGATCACATGGGGACACAGGGAGGAGGTGGCCAACTGCAAGTCAAGGACAGAGGCCTCGGATGGAACCACCTTGAAGATACCTAATCTCGAACTTCCAGAATCATAAGAAAATACATTTCTGTTGTTTAAGCCACTCAGTCTGTGATGCTTTGTTATGGCAGCTGAGCAGACAGCACTTGAATCTGGGCTGGCTACAAAACCAGCTTTGGCCAACAGAGTACGGTGGAGGTAAAGCCATGCTGGCTCTCAGCCTAGGCCTCGAGAGAAAATGTGGCTTTTGGCCTATTTCTTAGAACCCTCCCAAGCAGCCACATGAACAAGTCTGAGCTAGCCTTTTGGAGGATGGGAACCCACATGGAGCATAGACAGCCATCCCAGCCTCAGATACACAACTGCAGGCACATGAGAAAACCCAGCCAAGAAAACAGGAACTGCCCAGCTGAGCCCAGCCCACATTACTGACCCACATTACCATGAACTAAATAAATGAATGCTTGTCATTTTAAGCCACTCACGTTTGGGGCATTTTACAGCAAAAGCTAATTGATGTAGTCAGGTAAGTACTTGCTTATTTGCCCTTCTGGGGGTCAGTCACTTTCTCATTAAGCATTTCCCTTTCTCAGTATCCTTCTCACCCACCCTCCAGTGTCCTGAGCACCAGATGTATAAGCAGAGGCAGGAGAGCTGAAGCCCCCTGGCCCTGGAAGGATGCCACTAAGAGACCACCCACCTTAGCAGGGCACTTGAAGTCTGGGACTCACCTGAGCAGCTTGGGGACAGTGAACCTGAAGACATCACTGATGACGAGGCTGAGGGTCCCCAGGAGGAAGGTAGAATGGAACACCTGCCAGATGGCCTTCAGCAGTGGGCCCCACTGGCTCCCTTCTTGCCGTAGGAACGGCTCAGTATCTGGAGCCTCCATGTCACTGCTGCCTTTCCTTTTAAATGTTGTTGCCTTGGTGTGCCTTAGGGGAGGGAAGAGATTGGCTCTGAGTCCCATTTTATACTCTCAGCTGCCAGCAGCAGGGCCAGGCATTAAAGGGTTATTTTCCAAACAATGGAGATGGGTGGGTGTGGATCCAGGCTGGCTCCCTCACCCATTCCTCCTTATCACCCTGAGTACCCACTTAAGAGACAATCACAGGAGTTGGGGGCATGGCAGGAGGGCACTCTGAGGCCTCTTAGATGGCCATGGGAAAGGACATGTGTTGAGCACCTATTACGTGCCAGGCACTCCCCAGCCATGCTAAGACCCCTGAGAAGCCAGCTGGGTAGACTTTGCCTGTGTTTTCCACCAAGATGTCCCTAATATCAAGTCCAGCTGCTGCACACAGTAGGAGCTCAATAAACACTTGTCAAATGAATGGGAAAAACAGATTGAGTGACGTGTGCAAAGGGCCTAACGAGAGTGCCCCCCACACATACTGTTACAAAAATTTATAGAAGGAAGGAAGGAGCTTGGCTGGGTGGACAGAACTTGGCTTTGGAGCCAGGAGACTGTGATTCCAATGCCTGCTCTGTCTCCTCTCCTCTGAGCCTTAGTGTTTCCATCTGTAAAGTGGGGTCGGGGAAGAGTTGACTGCGAAGTTTTCTTTCTGGCTGGAGTTTTTGCTCAGTTCTATTCAAGCTCTTTGCCCCAGAGAATCAGTGTGTTTAGCCTGCAGGCTCCATAGCAAGCGTTTTCCTCTCTGGCAGGTCTCACCTCCCATCAAGGAAGACGTCCAGATTAGTGGTTGATGTCTGGTCTCTGGACTGAAGGCCATTTAGTGCAGATCTCACAAATGACGGTGGGGCAAGGCATGGGCATATGCATGAGTGACATGGGCAAGGTGTGAGTTGGGGGATACAAAAGGGAGTAGTAGAGGCCGGGCACGGTGGCTCACACCTGTAATCCCAGCAGTTTGGGAGGCTGAGGCGGGCGAATCACCTGAGGGCAGGAGTTCAGGGCCAGCCTGATAGCCTGAGCAACATGGTGAAACCCTGCCTCTAATAAAAAATACAAAAATTAGCTGGACATGGTGGTGGGTGCTTGTAGTCCCAGCTACTTGGGAGGCTGGGGCAGGAGAATCGCTTGAACCCGGGAGGCAGAGCTTACAGTGAGCTGAGATCGTGCCACTGTACTCCAGCCTGGGTGACAGAAACAGACTCTTAAAAAAAGAAAAAAAAAAAAAAAGAGAGATAGGGACTGTAGCAAATTGAAGACTGCACACGTTGTCCAATGCTGTAGACTCTACCCAAATCCAATCTAATACTGCCTTGTGAAGATGTGGCCTAGGTTTGCCAGATCTACTTCGAGACCAAAATTCCAGATTTTTATTTTTATTTATTTGTATTTGTATTTATTTTTTGAGACAGAGTCTCACTTTGTCGCCCAGGTTGTAGTGCGGTGGTGCGATCTCAGCTCACTGCAACCTCTGCCTCCCAGGTTTAAGGGATTCTCCTGCCTCAGCCTGCCAAATAGCTGGGATTACAGCGCTCACCACCACACCCAGCTAATTTTTGGATTTTTAGCAGAGATGGGGTTTCGCCATGTTGGCCAGGCTGGTCTCGAACTCCTGGCCTCATGTGATTTGCCCGCCTTGGCCTCCCGAAGTGGTGGGATTTCAGGTGCGAACCACTGCGCCCAGTCTAGAATTCCAGATTCTTATGGGATTGCTCCAAATTTTAAAATATTGGCAACTTATTAAAAAAACAAAACAATACAAACAACCACAAAGGCCCATGTGCGCCAAACATACCTTGGGAAGCTGACTTGACCAGCAGGTGGCTGTTGTGTGACCTCTTAGGAGGACACCCTCTCCCTTCCCCCAGTGATTGCAAAATACTTCAGAAAGGAAACCAAAGTTCTCCGTGGGTGCAGTTGGTTGGTTCAGAAGCTGAGCGAGCCTGGTCTTTGTATAACCCCGTCTTTCCCCTTTCTTTCTGTCAACTGTTTATGGCAGGATTCTCAAACAGTTCTGGAGAATGTTTCTACTGTTTAGTTCTAGTGGTGGGTGACCTGTAATTTTCATGTTGGTGGGGATGCCGGGACTTGGCAGAGGTTCCTCCCAGAGCCCCCGTGGACTGAATTCTGCTACTTCTGTAAAATCATTTAAAGGTAGAGGATGAGTCAGGTGCGGTAGCTCACACCTGTAATCCCAGCACTTTGACAGGCCAAGGCAGGCAGATCAGCTGAGGTCAGGAGTTCAAGATCAGCCTGCCAACATGGTGAGACCCTGTCTCTACTAAAAAAATAAAAAAAATTAGCCAGGCGTGGTGGTGCACGCCTGTGGTCCCAGCTACTCAGAAGGCTGAGACAGGAGAATCACTTGAACCCAGGAGGTGGAGGTTGCAGTGAGCCGACATCATACCACTGCACTCCAGCCTGGGTGACAGAGCGAGACTCTGCCTCAAAAAACCAACCAACCAACCAACCAACCCAGTGAAGGGGTTCCAGCAAGCCATGCCTGGGGTGACAGAGAGAAGTGATGTTTTGGTTTGCTCACACTACTTACTCTGTTTGGAAAAACACATGCCCTTCCTTTGTGGGAACAGCCCCTACCCTCTTCTGTGGCTCTGAAGGGACCACAGTCATGGAACCAGCCTTCTGAGTATGGGATTGGCCCCTGACAGGCACGTGACTCCAGCCAGGCCAATTAGAGGCCTTCCTTGGGATTTTCTATATGGACGTTAAGGGAGAGATGCTCTCTCATTCTGTTGGGGTTTGCTGAACTTGTGTGGGAAGGGATAGGCCTTATGGAGAGACCAACACATAGATAATAGTTGGGGAGGGAGAGGAAGGGAGAGAATCCTGACATCATGTGAGTCCCCGGATCCAGCAACACCTGAGGCTAGATCCTCTTACTATGTGAGCCTGTAGTATCAGTCTCTCTCTCCTCTCTCTTAATGTGTGGGATTCAGCCATCTGCAACAACTACCACATAATCCCAGAGTATGCAGGGAAACCTAGTTACTCTTCCCACAGAGCTAACTTACTTTTTTGTTCTGTCTCCTGAAACACCAAGCTCCGGTGAGGTTAAGCAATGTGTCCAAGGTCATCGCTATTTGAAGGCAAGGCAGCATTTAACCCAATTTTATCTAATCCTATGTTGCAGGCTAATAAAGCTAGACCAGAATTTCTCAAATGAGGCATCCCAGGCTCTAAGGGCTGCAGAGAAGTTTCCAGAGATGCCACTGAGGGCAGGAGTGGACACAGTGGATAACTCTAAAGATCTCAACACCCTCTCGATGACTAACAGTGCTTGAGCACTTCCCATTCGCAAGACATTTGCAAGTTCTTTTCCATAAACCATCTTTTTTTCATCCCCATAAGCTATGAGCTGGGGCTAACGACATCCCCACTGAACAGATGAGAAAACTGAGGCCCAGGAAAGGAATTGCTCAGGTTATACAGTAAGTGAGCAACTGCTTGCATGTTATGAGTCACCTCCCAACCCTCCACCCCAGCCTTAAAAGACCTCTTCTGTTTCCTGCCTGTCATTCTGCCATGAGTTTCCTGTTTGTGGGAACCTGTGATGCATTCTGGGAGGAACCGTATATCGAGCCTGATCAGCGGTTACTACTTAGTGGGATCAGTTGGAAGACAAGGTGGGGAGGCGGCAGGGCAGCAAGAGTAGTGTTGGGGGCTGGACTGGGGGTCAAATGATGAGCTTCTCTTTTCTTTTTCTTTTTTTTTTTTTTGAGATGGAGTCTCGCCCTGTCACTCAGGCTGGAGTGCAATGGTGAGATCTCCACTCACTGCAACCTCTGCCTCCTGGGTTCAAACGATTCTCTTGCCTCAGCCTCCTGAGTAGCTGGGACTACAGGTGCCTGCCACCATGCCCAGTTAATTTTTGTATTTTTAGTAGAGATGGGGCTTCACTATGTTGGCCAGATTGGTCTTGAACTCCTGACCTCATGATCCGCCTGCCTCAGCCTCCCAAAGTGCTGGGATTACAGGCGTGAGCCACCACACCTGACCAATGATGAGCTTTTCTGAAGGTGCATCAGGTGAGCTCTCGACCTCCACTCACTTACCTCCCGGCTGCGCTGCGGTTCCTCATCCACGCCTTTTCAAGCCGGGAAACAAGTTCTTCTGAGGAGTTTTCCTTCCCAAGCGACCAGAGGTCTTTTGGTCTCAGTGGCCTCCTGTAGCCCCTCCAGACCAGCCTGCAAAAGACGGGCACCAGGGCGAGCTTTTCCTGCCATTCACCCCTGCAGGATCCTGGCCAGGCAAGTAGCTGTGTGATCCTGGGTAAGTCACTTTACCTCTCTGTACCTCTACTGGCCCCTGGATAAAAATAAAGCAATTCACTAACCCCATCTAACGTTTAGAGGGCACTTCTCAGTTCACAAAGATTGTCTCATTAATTCTTATGTGAGCCCATAAGATAGATGATTATGGTTTGTTTGTTTGTTTGTTTCAGATGGAGTCTTGCTCTGTCTCCCAGGCTGGAGTGCAATGGCGCAATCTCAGCTCACTGCAACCTCCACCTCCCCATTCAAGCGATTCTCTCACCTCAGCCTCCTGAGTAGCTGGGATTACAGGCACCCACCACCATACCCAGCTAAGTTTTGTATTTTTTGTAGAGATGGGGTTTCACCATGTTGGCCAGGCTGGTCTGGAACTCCTGGCCTCACGTGATCCACCTGCCTCAGCCTCCCAAAGTGCTGGGATTACAGGCATGAGCCACCACACCCAGCCTGTAAATTGATAGTTTATAATTGTATAAGTGTATGAGTATATTATTATAGATCTATTTTACAGATGGGGAAGGAAATAGAAATGCAGAGAGATTAAGTGGCTAAACCAAGGGATAGCCCTTGGCAAGGGAAACAGACATTTGCCTGGGAATCAGAAATCCATTGTCCAAAACTGTCGTTGTAGAAGAAGCTTGAACTCCTCCCTCAGCTTTATTTTTTAAATTATTATTCTGTCTCACTCTGTTGCCTAGGCTGGAGTGCACTGGCGCGATCTGGGCTCACTGCAACCTCCACCTCCCTGGCTCAAGCGATTCTCATGCCTCAGACTCCCAAGTAGTTGAAATTACAAGCGCCCACCATCACACCTGGCTAATTTTTGTGTTTTTAGTAGAGATGGGGTATCACCATGTTGGCCAGGCTGGTCTTGACCTACTGGCCTCAAGCAGTCCTCCCATCTCAGCCTCCCAAAGTGCTAGGACTACGGGTGTAAGCCACCACACCTGGCTAATTTTTGTGTTTATAGTAGGGACAGGATTTCGCCATGTTGGCCAGGCCGGTCTCGAACTCCTGGCCTCAAGTGATCTGCCTGGGTTGGCCTTCCAAAGTGTTGGGATTATGGGTGTGAGCCACTGCGCCTGGTCTCAGGTCTCTTTAATCTTTCTGATGACACCAGCCAGAAGGTTGTTCTGGTCTCCGACTCTTCTCTAAGCCTCCCAAGTTCCCTTTTCTTTTTTATTTTTATTCTTTTTATTGTTTTGAGATGGAGTCTCACTCTGTTACCCAGGTTGGAGTGCACTTGTGTGATCTCAGCTCACTGCAACCTCCACCTCCAGGGTTTAAGTGATTCTCCTGTCTCAGCCTCCCGAGTGGCTGGGATTACAGGCTCCTGCCACCACACCTGGCTAATTTTTGTATTTTTAGTAGAGACGGGGTTTCACCATATTGGTCAGGCTGGTCTCGAACTCCTGACCTCAGGTGATCCACCCGCCTCAGCCTCCCAAGGTGTTGGGATTATTGGCGTGAGCCACTGTGCCAGGCCATCAAGTTCCCTTTTCTAATGCAGAGCCAACTTGGGGAAGCAGCTGTTCTGACATAGAAATTACCAATGTGCTTGATTTTCCCCGAAATTATTTTTGGAGTTCTCCTATACAGCAAGTGATGCTATAGATTTTTCCTATTTTAGCAGCGATAGAAAGTTTCTTTTTAAAAACAGTTTATTAGAGTAAAAAAAGTGACTCAATTTAATTTTTGCCCCAGTAGGACAAGAAAGCATCAAGAGCGGTCCATAAGTGCTTCAGTTTGGGAAGCAGGGACTGGCTCTGCTAGTAGAGCTGTTTAGAAAACCTCTAAGCTCTTTCTACCAATTTCATACATCAAAAGCCTGATATTTTTCATTTATTTCATAGCCACTTAGGCCAGGTGCAGTGGCTCATGCCTGTAATCCCAGCATTTTGGGAGGTCGAGGTGGATGGATCACCTGAGGTCAGGAGTTGGAGACCAGCCTGACCAACATGGTGAAACCCTGTCTCTACAAACAACTACAAAAATTAACTGGGCGTGGTGGCAGGCGCCTGTAATCCCAGCTACTCAGGAAGCTGGGGCAGGAGAATCGCTTGAACCTGGGAGGTGGTTCAGAAGGCAAGGTACCCCTCCATAACAAAGACAATGAGATCCTTGACAATATCCCTTGGCAAATGTTGTGAAGACCTGCCGGTGGATTTTGTCGGGTGCCTCAGGAAGATGACAAACAGTCTGTACTCTTTACCAGTGACGCTGAAGGGGTCCATTTCACCACATTTCTGCCATCACAGTTTATCCGCTTTTAAATTTTGTTGCTACTCTTGTAGGTGCAAAAAGATTTCTATGATAGTTTTAGTTCTTCTCAGCCTTTGTAATGTT